TATAGGGATGCTGCGTATAACAATAGCCTAATATATATAAAAACTAGAAAGCAAGGGTAAAAGGAAACTAGAATAATAACTTAGACCTTTGTTATAATTAAGAAGTAGAAAGGTATAGAAGAAATCTTTTAATTATCTTTATAATACTCTAAGCAAGTGCCCTACTACTAAAGTTTTATAATATAGCTAATAATTAGGTAGTAGTATCTATACTATTACTATCTATAACTAACCCCCCCCTAGCCCCCCCTAAACTATTATTTATATTATTCTAACGCCTCTACATCTCTTAGCAATAGCGGTGGCGCTTACGCGCGTCACGGGTAGGGGATAACTTAGTTAACAAGTACAAGCGGTAGTAGTAGTAGTATTAGGAGGAGGGTAGTACTTTAATAGCTTGCTAGCACGTAGCACCCTAGGCCTAAAGAAAATAAATATTAGAATAGATATAAAGGGAACAAGGGAAAAACAATACTAATAATAAGAGTCTTAATAACTTAGGTAGTGCGCTTAGCAGCACTCTTAAGCTAGTTAATATAAAAGTTAGTTTAGGCCTAGGTCTTGTTTATACACTAGTTAATACGCTAGAAGGTAATACTAGTAGTAGTAGTAAGCTATATAATATTATTATTGCCACAACTACTATATAAAGGCGTAATAGCAGACTAAAGAGGAAATACTAGAGCACTAGTAGTAGATAGAATAATAGCACTAAGCTAATACTAATTATAGGCACGCAAGTAAGTAGTAGGGGCAAGTAGAGTAATAGCGTTATTAGTTTAAGCCCTTAATATAAGATCCTTAAAATAATAGTAGAGCTAGTAGAACTATAGTATAAACTAGTAATAGGTGCCTTTAGTAGGTTTCCTTATAAAAGTGCTAAGGGTCCCCTTCTTTATAATATAAAGGTAATCCTCCTAGTAACTATAATAAAACTAAAGCTAGTTATAGAGGGCTTAGCGAACGTTAGGATTATTAGTAAGGATAGCTTCTAACTAAGTACAAGTCTTGTAGCTATAATAGTAGGACTTGTATAAGCGCCCTAGACACAGTTAGAACTCGCTACAAAGAAAATAAAAATTAAAGGGAAACTTACTACTACCCTCCTAATAGTTACACTTGCTAAAGAGATAAAGCTAGTTAATACACTAATTATAGGGAAGTAGCTTTATAAAGCCACTATTATATTCCTTATTATCTAAGTTACTAAAAATAATAAAGCTACTAAGTAACTAGGTTTAGGGAGATATGTGCTAAACAAAAAGTTAGTGCAGGAAATATAGGCAGAATATTAGAAGTACGCACCTTGTCTTAGTAGGCCTAGCGTGGGGTCTAACTACCTTATAGTAGATCCCTACTACTAGCACTAGTAGCTGCAGACAAAGATATAATAGGGACTAGATAGGCAGGATTAATAGAAAAAGATTAGAGAAGGGGCTAATTAGTAGGGAAAATCTGTTATATAATAAAGTAAGTTTAGGAAATTTATAGTAGGGTAGGATAGCTATGTTAGAACTTTTATAGTAGGGTGCTAAAATAAGCGTATAGACGCTACGCGCGCGTACTACTTAATATATAGGCCTGTTACAAATTAGGAAGGAATATAAAGATATAATAATAAAACTAAAAAATATAGTAATAAAGCCTAATATAGATTATAGAGGATAAAGATATAACCCTAGACCCCTAAAAAGACGATTTCACGATAGTTTATAGGGGAAGGTTAGGGGTATGTAAAGGACTTAGGCTTATGCCTAAGCCTAGGTCTAACACAAGATAGACCAAGTCTAATAACACTACTAAGCGAACACACTAGACACCTATAAAAAGGCGTGAAGGGCTTATCTCTCCTTTAAGATACTAAATACTATTATTAACGCTTATTGCATTCTTCCCTTAAGGCCAGTCTATAACAGAGGGTAGTACTTTAATAGTTTACTAATATATAGCACCCTAGGCCTAAAGAAAGTAAATATTAGGATATATAAAAGAGAATAAAGGGAAATTAATACTAATAATAAGAGTCTTAATACTATAGGTAGTACGCTTAGCAGCGCTCTTAAGCCTATTAATATAAAGGTTAGTTTAGGCCTAGGTCTTATTTATACGCTAGTTAATACGCTAGAAGGTAATACTAGTAGTAGTAGCAAGCTATATAATATTATTATTACTATAACTACTACGTAAAGGCGTAATAGTAGACTAAAGTAGAAATACTAGAGTACTAGTAGTAGATAGAATAATAGCACTAAGCTAATACTAATTATAAGCGCGCAAGTAGGTAGTAGGGGCAAGTAGGGTAATAGTATTATTAGTCTAAGCCCTTAATATAAGATCCTTAAAATAATAGTAGAGCTAGTAGAACTATAGTATAAACTAGTAATAGGTGCCTTTAGTAGGTTTCCCTATAAAGGTACTAAGGGTCCCCTTCTTTATAATATAGAGGTAATCCTCCTAGTAACTATAATAAAACTAAAGCTAGTTATAAAGGGCTTAGCGAATATTAGGATTATTAGTAAGGATAGCTTTTAATTAAGTATAGGTCTTATAGCTATAATAGTAGGACTTATATAAGCACCCTAGATATAGTTAGAACTTGGTATAAAGAAAATAAAAATTAAGGGGAACTTACTACTACTTTTCTAATAGTTATACTTACTAAAGAGATAAAGCTAGTTAATATACTAATTATAGGGAAGTAGCTTTATAAAACTACTATTATATTCCTTATTATCTAAGTTACTAGAAATAATAAAGCTACTAAGTAACTATATTTAGAGAGGTATATACTAAGCAAAAAGTTAGTATAGGAAATATAGGGAGAATATTAAAAGTACGCACCTTATCTTAGTAGGCCTAGCGCGGGGTCTAACTACCTTGTAGTAGATCCCTACTACTAGCACTAGTAGTGGCAGATAGGGATATAATAAGGGCTAGATAGGTAGGATTTAATAGAGAAAGAGTAGAGAGAAGGGCTAATTAGTAGGGAAAATCTATTATATAACAAAGTAAGTTTAGGAAATTTATAGTAGGGTAGGATAGCTATATTAGAACTTTTATAGTAAGGTACTAAAATAAGCGTATAGACGCTACGCGCGTGTACTACTTAATATATAGGCCTATTATAAATTAGGAAGGAATATAAAGATATAATAATAAAACTAAAAAATATAGTAATAAAGCCTAATATAGATTATAGAGGACAAAGATATAACCCTAAACCCCTAGAAAGATAATTTCACGATAGTTTATAGGGGAAGGTTAGGGGTATATAAAGGGCTTAGGCTTATACCTAAGCCTAGGTCTAATATAAGATAGACTAAGTCTAACACTACTACTAAGCAAACACACTAGACACCTATAAAAAGGCGTAGAGGGCTTACCTCTCCTTTAAGATACTAAATACTATTATTAACGCTTATTGCATTCTCCCTTAAGGCTAGTCTATAACATAGATAATATTTAAGTGCGTAAGCATAGGCTAAATAAGGAAGGCGCGCTAGTTAGTATCTAAAGGGTAAGCTAATTTAACCCTTTAGATATATAATACTCTAATTAGCTATACTACCTACTAACTATAAGCGTAACTATAATAATAAAAGATCTACCTATACCTAGGGGGTGTGTTATAGGAGGGATATTAACTAGATTATAGAGTATCTTAATCTAATTAATCCTAATTAATACCCCTATATAACCTACTATCTAATTAACTACTAGCTTACTACTAAGTGCCTAATAAAAAGCAGGAGCTCTAGTAAGGAAGGTTTACTAATTATTTACCTTCTAGTAAGGGTAGCTAAAGCTCTATATATATAAGTCCGATCGTAGTAGATATAATCTAATAATCCATCTCCTAAATTATTCCTAACCTTAGTAATCTAGATTTCTATATTAGGCTTATACCTAAGCCTAGGTCTAATAAAAGATAGGTAGAGACTAACACTACTACTAAGTAAACACGCTATACACCTATATAAAGGTATAGAGGGCGTACCTCTCCTTTAAGATACTAAATACTATTATTAATGCTTATTATATTCTCCCTTAAGGCTAGTCTATAATAGTAGTATCTATAATAAAGCTATAAGGAGTATAAGGATATATAAGGTAGTAGAATAAGAATTCTATAAAGTAAATTAGTAATACATTATACTAGAATAGCCTATAATAGCCTATTATAACTACTCTAGGAAGAAATAAAGAAAAAATGACTCTTAGGGAAATACTCACTGAATAAGGTAGGTAAAGGATAGAGTAAAGGAGTAAGAGAAGAATTTAAGCTAGAAGTAGGCCTAGTTTTATATAAGTACTAGTAGTAATAGCTAGTAAGGTAGTAAAGTTAGTAAGTAAAGGTATAAATAGAGGTATAAGCTAGAAATTCTAGCCTTACCTTAGAATTAAGTAAATTAAGTATTAGTAATAGAATAGGCTAGAATAGCCTACTATAACCTTATAAAAGGCGTGTAGTTCCTAGAAGACTTATAATCTATCTAGTTAGGTTAGTTAAATTAATCTCCCTAAAGAGGGGGGATAATATTAGAATATAGGGCCCTACTAGCCCTAAAGGGCTAAATATAGGCTAGCGTAGCCTTAGCTAGGTATATTATATAATTATAGGTAGTATAAATACCTATAAGAATTAATATATATAGTATTAATTTATTTAATACTTAATTAATACCTATAATCCTAATCTACTACTAAACCTATATCCTACACTATAACGTCTTATATTAGGTAATATAGTGTAATTTTAGTAACGTCTTAGTAGGGTAGTCTACTTACCTATATAGTCTACTTTCCTATAAGCTACGTGATACTAGATATTTAACACAACACACACTTTGCATTTTCAAGTATTCTACTGCCCACGTGAGGCTACGCCTGGCACTAACTAATGTGGTGTTAGGGTGGCATCATGGTGCCAACCAACCCCGCCCGTCTTTTTCCCGAGTCGCCCACGGTCAGATTTACCACTCACAATATCCTCTCTAGACATGACAGCGCCCACACATCTTGAACCATCAGAGCTGGGCACAAAATCCTATTGGGACGCCGCGTATACCCTTGAAAACTCCAATTTTTCTTCCAACCTTACCGATGAGGGCACAGTCTGGTTCAGCGACGCAGGTGCAGAGGAGCGCATGCTAGCGTTCCTCGAGGAACTTGCCGAAGAGGAAGTATTGCACAAAGCAGCTGAATCTGAAGACAGAGGCGCATCACGATTCCTCGATTTAGGGACAGGAAACGGCCACCTCCTTTTTGCGCTGCGGGAAGAGGAGTGGAACGGAGAGCTAGTGGGCATAGATTATTCCGATCACAGCGTTACGCTCGCAGAAACCATACGCTCTGCGAAGGATGAGAGGTACGCAGATATTGCTTTCCACGCTTGGGATATCTTGTCGCAAAGCCCTGGGAAGTGGTTAGGAAGCGGCTTTGACGTGGTGCTTGACAAAGGCACGTTCGATGCCATCTGTCTCTCGCAAGATACAGATGCGCAAGGTCGCAGGATTTGCGAAAGCTACAGACAGAAGGTAGAACCTTTGGTCAAAAATGGAGGACGGTTTCTCATAACAAGTTGCAATTGGACAGAGGAGGAATTGAAGGGATGGTTCAACACTGGCAGCTTCATATTGGAGGGCAAAGTAAAGTACCCAAGCTTCACATTTGGTGGCAAGACTGGGAGTAGCGTCGTTACGCTGTGCTTCCGCAAATCGTGAAAGTTGGATTTCGCATGGCATATGCTATGCAGTAGCTCGCCGTATGCGCGCCAGTACAAGCCATTTCTTACGCTCAGTGACATTTTCGAATCCGCCGTCACGCTCAGCAGCCCACGGCCGCCGAACACCATCTGCGTCAATTTCAAAGATTTCCTCAACCTCGAGTCCCTGCTGTGGGATGATTTCCTCGAAGAACGGTGCCACTTTCGCACGACCAGTATGGAATCCTGCAATACACAGAATGCGCGCATCTGTGGTGTTGGCGAGGAAGTGCAGCATCGACTTGGCTAGATTGACATGTTCCCAGGGCATCCACAAACAGTCGGCCGCCAGGATGCGTGTATAGTGGTGCGCGTTGGTGGCCTCGAAGGAACTCTCGGTCGAACCCCAAAGATGTCCTTGTACGTGTATGCGGGGTTGGAGGGAGGGAGGGACATTTTTGGCGACGTTGTCCAAAAGGGTCGCCAAAATTGGGGGTGCAGGATAGTCGGTTATAGTCACCTGGACGTATTGTTAGTTGGAATCGCGAGGTTTGTGTGACAACTCAGTGCCTCCTTTGCGCCTGCCAAAGTGCTCGCGATGCCACCAAGTCCTACGCCTAAACAAGGTGTATGCCATCAGTCATCTCTTCCGCTTCCACTCTTCACGATCCACCCACCTGCCCCCAACTCCAGTACTATCTCGCCTTCAACATTCCATCGCTTCTCCTCTTCTTCATTCAGCCACCACTCTCCGTCCCTCCACTTATCCTCTTCAGCCAGGTCTAAAAGTCTGCTCCCCGATGATGTTGCCCGCCCTCCGACCAATTCACCCATCAAGAGGCCTGCATTCCAGAGGTAATGGGCAAATTTTCGTCGCTCCTCCTCGCCATTTACATCGGCTGTCCTGAACTCGAGCTGGCCGTGCCGTGCGTTCTTATAAAGTATCACCGTATCGGGGTCCTCGCCATGCTGGTTCTGCAGGTCATTGAATAGGCCGAGAGAGGAGCCGAAGATGTCCTCGGGCTCAAGCGGTGCGGACGTGGGGCGGCGGAGATCGATAAGTCTAGAGAGGCGCATATGGGGGTGTGCGCTACTACTCAGGCTGGTACGATGCAATGTGGATCTGAAAAGGTACGATAGAGCAGTATGTATGGAGATTTGAGGCTTAGGGGTGTTGCACATGAGGTGGGGCGTGCTGTGCTGACAGACCCTAGGCTCAACTTGTAGTAGCAGGTTTGGTAAGATATGCAGGGCCCTTGCAGGATATGTTGTGGTGATATCATCAACCGAGGCTTCCCAAAGTTCAAACACAATTGTGACATACTCTCCGTTTGCACAAAATTGTTCTCAACCTGAAAGTACACCTAAATACCTGGATTCCTAAATCCTTGAATTAGAATCGCCGTCTCACAGGCTTGAATCCCTCCTCCAGGCCACAAAGCAGCATTCATCCAGCCTATCATCATGTCGTCCTCGCCTTCTCCGTTCAAATCAGCCGCGACGTACCATCTACTCAGGTATTCCAAGCCGTACCCTTCTCCCTTCTTGGCCATCCTGACGTGAGCCCCAGCTATGGCACCCTCTTAGGCTCAACCCTCTTCCAATCCTTCATCAACGGCGTCGTCGCCTTCAAAGTTCTCCCGCGCCCCCAATTTTCCACACTGCAACGCCACACTTTCCCCATCTACTTCACTCTCCAGACACTCACACCCATGGCCATGCTTTTCACTTACCCATACGGAGGCCCATCCTCCCTTCTCCCCGTGCTCTCCTCCCATACCAAGATCCAGACAACAACAGACACCCGCTCCGCCTGGTTAATTGGTACAATGTTCATCACTGCGCTTGCGAATCTAGTATACATTGGCCCTGAGACAACGCGGGTGATGGGGGCCAGGAAACATCAAGAGACGAGAGATGGGAAGAAGAGTTATGACGCCGGACCGCATAGCAAAGAAATGGATCGCTTGAATAGGCGGTTTGGCATTTTGCATGGGATTAGTAGTTTAGTAAACATGGTAGGGCTGGGGGCAATGGTTGGGTATGCTGGCTTGCTGGGACAGAGACTAAGTATGTAGCTTGTTAGCGTTGATGGGAGGTGATGGGACAGCATGAGGAATGTCGGAAATGGGAGGATAGTTATGGTATCGACTAGGAACGATACCTCTGTAGGTTCTCACTGAACAGTAAATTTTGCACGTTGTCAGAGAGAGCTTGGAAAGAAGAAAGGCGTGATTAAAAAAAAACTAAGTGTCTAGATCTAGAGGAATACATTATGCAACCGACTTTCTTAGCATTGCCTCATCATTCTTTCATATCTCCCAATACAGTGCTCCGATCAAGTCATCAATACGTTCGGACATGCGCCGGCTCCCTTTGCGTACATCCAAAGTGACCTTGAGAGAGTTATTACAACGATGCGAAAGTGTCAGATATTGGTCATGCGGCGGCCCCTTCAACGTAGCCAATCGCAATTGCTCCAGTCTCTCCAAACTCTTGCAGACTATCAACACTGAACGCCAGCTTCCTGAACACAATCTGACATCGACCATTTCAAGCTGCGATACGGACGAAGCTTGGGCGGCAAAGAAGGTCGTAAGGTCACTTTCGTAAGTTGTGCAGTTTGAAAGGACAAAACTCGAAAGAACCATCAAACGACAAGATAGTGCCAGTGAGTGCATCATATCAGCACCATATTGGGTAAGGTTATTGATATAATCCAAGCTCAATGCCAGATTTTTCACCAAAGGTGTTGAAGCTAGAAGATTAGTCAGGGTGAGCTCCCAATCCCTCTTGTGAGAAGAGGCAAGGTAGGATGAGTCGATGGATAGTGTGAGAGAAGTTAATTTACATAATCGAGGCTTCAACGCTTGCAGCGTTCCGGGAGGCAGACAAAGAGCTGTACAAGGTAGCCTCAAGCACCTATAAAACGGACGCTTCCTGGATCCTTTGGAGATGCTGAGTTCGCGTAATTCGATATTGCTGCGAGCGATGGCAGTGATTACCGCCTGGAAGCATCGCATTCTGAAGATGTCGTCACGGTCACAGGGTCCCTGATCATCTCCACGATGGTGAAGTCGTGTGTAGAACTTCATGGTCTTGATGTTAGGGAAGCCTTCGAGTGCGCAGACCAGACGGTCCACAATGCACTGGGGATAACTATCTCCGCAAATGTCCTTGTACAGTGTAGACTCACTTGGAATATTACGTGAGGAAATTCCTGGCATGAGGGCTACTGCAAAGCGTTTGGGCGGAGGATATATTCCCAGCCTAGTTATGGATTCGAGGTCGCAGTAGTCTGTATAGTATAGAAAACGAACATGCAGGGTGGTGACAGCTGGCGAAAAGTGATGATGACTGGCAATCTGTACCAGTCGATCGAGGGACGCTGAACCCAGGGTAGTCGTCAAGCGAGCAAAGTGTCGCTTGGCGAAAGGAGCCAGACTCAGCAGATGGAGTCGTCGGGAGCATATTCGAAGGTTCTTGAATGCGAGCAAATCAAGATGGGCTGCTACGAGATCGAATAATTCCGCAGGGAGGTTGCCAATCGGCGAGGTACCGGTAGTCATTGAGCAACAAGCACGGTTAGAGGATGGTGTGGCGGCGGGTTGTGTTGACAAACGTCGAAATGCACAAAAGGTCGAGTGACTGAAAGCAATGAAGCAATCGATTTGCAGAAGCGGAGTTTCCTCACATCTTGGCACTGATGGTTAGGGTGTTGAGACATGTGTGGTGTGGGCGTGTGGTGTTGTTCGGGACAGAAGCTTTGGGTACGTGCATGTCGGTAAAAGGATTGACGCCTGCACGGCCTCCCCCACCACTTCAGCGCTACGCAGCCCACAGCCCTGCCCCCACGGCGAAGGTCATGCTCCTTTCGAGTGAATGACGCCCGCTGTCCAACGCCATATATAGCAACCGCACCAGACGCAGCAGCCAGGCGAAGGCACCCAACAGGCACCCACGTCATCGCGTGCATTCTCGCATCAGACACTAAACACTGATTCCCAACCTACACCTATCCACGACAGCCGACACGACAAAATCTCTCCTGCCCTTTACTGTAACTTGACCTCCACCTCGACTCCGACTTCGCCGTCAACGGCAGCCATGGATTCTATGCGCAGCCTCAACACATCGCTGCCGAAGACGCGGCGGCAGCCCGACGTGCACCAGTCCTTCCGCACGGCCGCCCTCAACGTCACAAATCTGTACAAGTCGGCGCTCGCCGACATCGACAACGCCCGCAACGATGGCTACCAAGAAGCTTTGGATGAGTTGCTAGCTTTTCTAGACAGGGAAAACATGGGAATGGGCGATGGCGAAGGTTGGCGGATACGGCAATGGGCCACGGAACGGCTGGACGGCTCCCAGCCGAAGCAATCGAGCAGCGATAGCGATGAAGACTATCTGGATGAACGACGTGCACGAAGCTCGTCGCCTGTCTTGGAGGGTAACATGGCGTCCGAAGACGCTCGCACGGGTGGCGAGAATATCGACATGGCGCAGCGCAGCGATTCGGCACCACCGCCTGTCCACATGGAAGCCTCGACTACCGAAGCCGATCTCTCGTCCCTCCACCACGTGTTTCAGTTCTCAGCTCCTCACACCCCTGCATTTGGACCGACCAGCGAAAACAATCCAGCGACCGACATGTCGGCCGCCGCCCGACGGGCTTTTCCAAGCCCGCGACGTTCGAACAATCGCTCGTCCTCACGAAACCTACAGCGGTCTGTGGCCCAGAACCTGCTTCAATTGGGATCAGGTGCTGGACAGAAGCGACGGCTCATGAACGACTTCTTCAACATTGATGGCTTCAACGATCGACGAGACGGCTCATCTGGCGGAGGTTCGAAGCGGGGACGTACGTCTTGAATAATGAATGGGAAATGGGAGGCTTTGGTTCAGTCACACGATATGGGCCACAAGGATCTTAGTCGGGATTTGGGGGTCAGAAATGGTTGTGGGACGAATTGGACGACTTAGTTGCATCACAAATGATATCCAGCGGCGTAGCAGGCGCGCAAATTCTTTGGTGCATTGGACGGATTAGACTATAGACGCATTCGGTGGTGTTCAGATCTTCTTCAGGGGAGCCTCCCCTCATTTGAGCCGGCATAGGCAGCACTCGAAATGGTATATCGGCATTACATCAATAAGAATAGGCATGGGCCAGGGTCGGAGGCGGGAAGCGAAGAGCCTCTCCAGAGGTGAAGACGTATGAAGATGTACCAGTGGATAGCATTGCATGCTGGGACGTACGCCCTTGCTCTGAAATGGTGAATTACTGGACTGCCTGTATCAAGTCGTGGCTGCATGAACGTTGTGTCGTGTATGTGATTCCAGCCACACGTGCGCTATCTCCATGTGCACAGGTGCTCACGAGAACCACCTGTAAACACCCAGGCCGACCATAACGGCACTGGTGCCTGTTATCGCTGCTCTCCTACTTCGCATTCCAAAAATGCTCTTGCTTGCTTTGATTGCCGCTGCGTTGGCTTGTATCTGCGCATGTCCGGAAATGTATGTGAAAGCACCGAGACCAAGAAATGTCGCTGTCCCTGTTGTCAAGTGTTGGAATGGATGAGCCCAATCTTGGAAAGGAGTAGGTAGGTAATCGAATTCGTTCCCACACGTACCAATGACCCGACACGGCATACAGTCGTCAAACTCGGCTTTGTCCTGCTTCATGGCTTCTTTGAGGCTGGGCACATGGTCTGGTAGCTGCTCAACCATGGCTACGAGGGATGACTACATTCACGCGGTGGAAGTGGACTTGCTGGACTGTTCACCGTCTGAATGAAGTGGAGGTCGTCTAGACGTTGTGTTGCGTAAAATTCGGCGGTCCGAGAAGGAACCGGTAACATTTGATCCTGAGCCCAGCTTAGCTGTAACTTATAACGCTAGCTACTGGTCACCATCACCGCTTAGCGGCTTGTGTATCCGACGCTACCAGTTGTAAAATACAATACAGACACAGCTCCCCGCCAAACGTTGCCCCACCCGATTTCATCCCCCATTGACCTCATCCAGCCCACCTCATCTCACTGCAAGCCACCTTTCTTCCTGGTCGCAGCACAGGGCCGAGCTATTAGAAGTGGGAAACCGCAGACACCATGAACGCAATAGAAGCGCTGTACCTGTTTGACGAGCACAAGTAAATCAACGCCTGCCTCCTGCCCTGCCTGCATCCTGATACCTTTGGTACACACCGTGCCAGCCCAGCTTCTGTCCCTGGTTTTGCCCTCACTAACGACTCGCATCCTTCCTGTGCAGTACACCACTCCTCGAACACACGTATATTGGCCGGCCCCCAGCCAGCAGCACCCTCCTGCCCCTCTACCTCTCCCATCCATCCCCACGACCGTCGCTGATCTACCTATCCAACACCAATCCGCCGACGCTCCTCTACTCCATCGTCCAAGACCAACTACTCTTCCTGTGCCCCTGTTCCTCAGACACGGAGCCCCTCCAGGTCCTCGAATTCCTGCATCGTGTCGCCGACGTGCTCGAGGACTTTCTTGGCTCTCCGCTGCTCGCTAGCAAAATCGAGGGTCACTACGATGTCGTGGCCCAACTGCTTAGCGAAATGGTGGATGGTGGCGTCATAGCTTGCACTGAACCCAATGCTCTGCATGATGTCGTCGAGGCCCCCAATTTCATCAAGAGTCTCTTGGGAGGCGTGGGATTACCAAGCTCGACGCCCAGCTCATTGACACCCTCCGCAACAACCTTCAACATGGGTAATCGACCAAGTCCGCGACTAGGACCTACGAATGCAAACCAGACCGCCTCAACGGTACCATGGCGACGTGCAAACGTCCGCCATACTAGTAACGAAATGTATGTCGACATTGTCGAAACACTTCAAGTGACGAATTCTCCGTCTGGTCGTCCCCTGTCCGCAATCGCAAACGGCACTATCGCCTTCACAGCCAAAGTCTCTGGGGTTCCTGATCTGCTCCTTCAAATTGGATGCCCCGGTGGCATAAGCAGCACCGTCTCACTGCCCGTCTTCCACCCTTGTGTGCGACTGGCCCGCTGGAAAGAGCGTCCAGGTGAACTCTCCTTTGTACCACCAGACGGTCGCTTTGTGCTCGCAGGCTACGAAGTCGATCTACTCGGTTCCTTGGCCTTGGAACAATTTTCCTCCAAAACGACCTCAAAATCGCTCCCGAAGCTTAATATACCGGCGACCATCTCCGTGACCCCGTCACTCGGCCCTACAGGTGCAGATTTCGAAGTAAAACTACAACTCAACCCCCGCTTTGGCGGTAGATCGTCCTCAGCCATTTCATCTTCCTCAATACCCAAAGGCAGTGCGGGCATCGGCTCGGGACTAGGTAGCAGAGCCCTCGGAGGCGGTCCATCTTTCGGTTCAGGTTCAACAACAGGAACATCTACTTCTCCTGCAATCGAAGAAATGACAATCCACATCCCACTTCCCCCGACCGTGAAAAACGTCACAGACCTCCGCCTAGCGCGGGGCACAGGCGATGCGATCTATGCTCCAGGTGACCGCGTGGTAGAGTGGCGACTTAGCAGTCGCGATCTCAATATGCTCATGGCGCGAGATAGGGGCGGCGGAGTGGGTGCAAGTGCTACACTACGCGGTACTGTTTTAGGAGTGGAAGACGACCATGTTGATGCAATGGATCATGGTAGCCCAGTTACCTTTTCAACTTCAACCTACAACTATGATGATGATTCCCCTCCCGCAAATCACCTGGCCTCGCAACACTCATTGCTACAAGGCAAAGTTTCGGCAGATGCAGATAGAAGGAGGACCAAGGCCAACAAAATTCTTATGCCCTCGTGCGCAACACTCAGCTTCTCGGTCAAAGGTTGGCTCCCAAGCGGGATCAAGGTGGAAGCGCTAAACGTTGAGCAAAAGAGAAGCAAAGGGTTGGGAAGTGGAGTCACGCCGTACAAGGGAGTCAAGTATCTGTGCGTTAGCCGGAAGGGGGTCGAGTGTAGATGTTGACAGGAGTGCATTTTTATGGAGAAGACTTGTAGGATATCAATACGGTGCACATTCATGTTCTCTACAGGCTCTCAAGATAGGTACTGTTAGAGACATGGATCTAAATCAGATCATTACCGTGATCAAAATACAAGAACATTAGCACTTTTACTAGACGGAGAGCTTGATCATATAATAGAGCAATGTCATTTACGCTAGCAGAAAGTCTCGCAAGCGGGCTTCAATATTATGGTCTCTGACACGGTCAGTTGTGCAAATGCGAAGCCAAAAGGCCGTCAATTTTCCACGCAAACTTTCATGCCCAGTCTGGAGAGCATAATTCTAGACATGTTGAACTGAGACACCCAAAAGCAGGTTGAACGCCTGTGGAACATTTCTTTGGACTGAATATAGGGACGAAATTCTAAAGATGCTGCTAGTGAATCTCCTCGCTATGGGTGAGATGACAACTTCAATTCTGTGGCTGGGAAAAGGCAAGTGCATCTAGTTGAATACCAAGTATCGACTATCAGAGCTAGAGGCACGAGTACTACTTCCGCGAGATCTCCCTTGCTTAGCTCTGCCAGTCAGGCACGCAGAAATAGTTGCAAGCTTCTTGGCCAGCGCAGGGTGTTTGGCCTCGAGTTTAGCAACCGCATCCACGTCGAACTCAGCGGCCTTGCGCGCACGCCGAGTGGCCAAGTTGTTGGCTAAACAGTCGAAGACGGGATCATTCTCTGGAATAGAAAGGGTGCAAATCAGGTCCATGAGCTCGACTGTAGCGTCGTTGTTGCGAATGCGGTCGCACAGCTGCTTGGTGAAGTGACCAATATAGGTGTTGTTCAGACCGAGAATACGAGCAGCACGGCAGATCTGTAGATTCTTAAGGTCGTGTTTTGCACCTGCATTGAGGGTGACGGAATAGACGCGGCCCTGGTATGTCATCTCATCCATCCATTTCATGTGTAGCTTGGCAGCCTCAATAGCCATGGAGTTTGCAGGAAGTACAAAGCTAGTGGCATCCGGATGGGCACTGAAGTGCTTGTGCGCCTTGCCAGAACACTGCATAAGCATGAACTTGGGGAGCGAGCCGAGCTTGACGTTGCCCATTTTGATGGCGACCTCTGGACCGTTCCCATAAGCCATGCGTTTTGCGAGAGGCAACTGACGAATGTCCAGTGATGGGTTGAACCCAGGAGCTCCGGCACTAGGGTCGCGCTTCATCTTTGCAGCCAGTCCCGTTGGAGGACTCATGTCATCCTTGCCGTGCTGTTTTAACTGCAACTTCTTTTCTGCAGGAGACATAGCAGTCTGGACAGCTTTCTGGCTGTATTTGGCCCAGTTGATGGGAAAGGTGAGCTTTTTTGGCGCTGGAGCAGGAGGAACGGCTTTAAGCGTCTCCTCGGTTACAAAAACAGGAAATTCGGTATTGGTGAAAGTTGGACCATTAGCAATTTTGGCTTTATCAGAAGCATCAATTACTGGGCTTGTGACAGAACTGTTGACCGGAGTTGAAGCTCCTTCAATCTCACACAGGACAGGAATTTGATTGACCTCAAAATCAGATTCAGGGCCCGACTGCTCAAGCTTCTCAGATTGTTCACAGGTATCAATGGGCGCCAGCTCGAGTTCTGCCTTGAATTTTGGTATCTCTGCCTTGCTGACCGACGCTGGCAGAAGGGCATCCGACGTGGTCTTGAGCTCTCGAATGATAGCAGCCTTGGTATCAAGCTCCTTCTCGAGTATTGCGATGCGACAGTTCTTCTCGTCGACTTGAGCAACCAGCCGTTGCACATGTGAGGACTGCAGCTTGTTTTCTTCCTCCAGGTCGAAGATGCGAGCGTTCTTCTCCTTGACGACATACTCGAGCTCGGAAGTACGGGCCAGGTGGTTCTCGACAACCGCGTCCAGGCTTGAGAGGAGCGCGTCCTTTTCGGTACTAGAAGCTTCGAGCTGCTCGATACGTAGCGCTGTCGTACCTCCATACGCTTCGAGATCTCCAATACGCGCATCCTTCTGCGATACAGCAGCCTCGAGTGTGGCGATGGCGCGGTCTTTGCGAAGTCCAGGCAGAGCAGGAAGGTTGTCATCGTCCTCGGTATCAGCCCAAGACAACTTGCCGTTTGTAGCAGCGGAAGGTGGCTGGACAGCGCCATTATTCATGGGCTTGAGTACAAGGCCCTTCTTCATCTTTGTCGATGTGGCGGTGCGCTTTGGCGGCAGCTCAGTAAGGATAGGTGAGGTGCTGTTGGTTAACTTGACTGAGTCTGTCTTGTTAGCCCAGAAGGCTGAAGCGCTCATAATGGGGTGTGTCGATGTCGCTGCCACGAAGAGGCAGCCAGACACTTTTTTGTTTGTTTGTGGGTGTAGACGAAGGCGTAGACGTAGACGTGCGATGACAAAAAAGAAGAAGGGATTTGTCACGTTGGCGCTGGGGCGAATGGTACGTGGCAGGCACGCGTGGGAATGGGTAGGGCAAACTCGATAGGTGCTGAGGATGGCTGAGAGGTGTGGATGGGGTGGTGAGTGTGCTGGAGAAGGAAAAGAAAGACTCGAGGGTGAGAGCTAGCTATTATATGCTGGTGGGGGTTGTGCTCATCTGCGCACCCGGATGGCGTGGTGAAAAGAGAGGCAAACGGGTATGTTGTGCAGGTATTGTGTGCATGTGTGCAGGTGAGAGGAGAAGTCGCGGTGAAGGGGGCAGGCCGCTAGAGGAAGGCACGACGAGCGAAATCCCACTTGCTCTCTCATTTCACGCTTTTCTCTCTTCTCCCCCTTCTTCTCTCCTCTCCTCGATCCTTTTTCTTCTCATTTCTATCCCCTCATTCCTTTCTCCTCTCCTCTCTTCAATCCTGTTTCTTCTTTTTTTACTTTATGATCCTGGGTTTCTAGGAGAGAAGAAAAGAGTTCAAGATGATGAAAAGAAGAAGAGAAACCAAGCCATCCAGTACCCGACGTGCTACCCTTCCTCGAGATAGGCTGTCGACCCGAGACTCAAGTACCTACTGGGCGAGAGTGTGTACGATGGAGGACGTCCAAGTCACTCATGTGAGCAGACTTTCCTGCGGAGAACTGCGTCCATCTCAGCGAAGCTTTTCGAGTTTGTGCCAAGCGCAGGAAGACTTTGGATAAAGGCATACAGGTGAATGATCAATTCACTTTTGGTGGTGGTAGTACTAAAAGTAGTAGAAAAAGGCTTACTGAGAAGTCAAGGAATCTGCTCACATCACACAAAACGACACTTGAAGCCTGTAGGTACCGTGTAGTCCGGGCTTGAGTGCAAGCGCAAAGGTTCATATGGATTGCCATGCCCATGCTCTGATTGTTTGTCTTGTCTGTGATGACAAGAGACTAGCAGGTTGGCCGATGGGATGATGCTGTGACAGGGCTACGCGGGAGCGAGACGTGTCGTGCCATCATGACCATCATGACGCGTTGTCGGTCGTGCCCCCGCTTTCCGAAGTCCGAAGACACGAACGCAGCGACTATAAAACCCGAATACATTACCTATCTATAAAGGGCCCCTGTTATCTAGCATCTCAATCCAGCTTTGCCATTACAAATCGTTTTCTCCCGTTCCTTGTCCTTGACTCGTGGTTTGTCACTGCATTGCTCAGTTGCTCAGACCTGCCGAGTACCGGTACCTATACCCTCCCTACCTAGTGCTACTCCAACCATGTCAGCACCAGTCCGCAATCTCTTTCAACATCTTCCTCCACCCGCAGAATGTCTCGCGCTGTGCATCGCAACACTCGAATTGGTTCCGTTTGGAGTAGCAGGGTTGCGCAATCCTGCTACATTTGCCGACGGTTATGGACTGCCCATCACAGGCGCCCCAGTTACCTCGTTGTCATCTACACAGCGCACAGATAGCCGTTCAACCGCAACATCAGGTGCATCAGAAGACGAGATGAACACCAAGAAAGCGCTAGTTGCCGCGGTAGCAGCACGCAATATGCAGAATGGAATACTTCTATTCATTTTTGGGCTCCTCTTGCGCGACCGAAGGAGTCTAGGCGTGGCCGTCACGGCAGGCCTGGTCGCCACCATTACGGATACGGTGATTGTGAAGACATTTGGTGCAAAAGACAAAATCGGTGGTCACTACCTGGGCGTCTTCAACAGTCTGGCAGTCGGAGGCAGCTTGTTATACTGGGGAAGCAGCGACGCGTTGTGGTGAAAACAACAGGTACCTAGTAACCCTACCGTACCGTACCGTACCTACGGTGCGGTTGCCGGTACGGTGCCCAGTTACCTTTACACTTACTTACGCTGACAAATGCCCAGGGGAACCTGTTCCCCAGAAACCATGGACGAATCAAATATACATATGTGGCGACGGCGAAAGCAAACACCAGCGGCGATACTCATACATAGCTAATGCTCCATGTGCTGTCAAGCTGTGCTGTGTTGACGTGCAATACCAGTACCCGGGACGCCAAAGCTTCGGCCGTATCTACTCCGACGGAGGAACCTTGTGCATCCTCCCCACCCCCGCAAATACTGAATGCGGGATGTGCCCCTACAGTGCATGCAACTCCTCCTGAGCGACCAGGCACATTTCGGCACGCTGACTCGTCTGCAGACGAGAGCTCGACTAATCAGCGTCATTCGTTAATCGGCTGATAGAATCCTCATGCGCTGTACCCGGACAAGGATGGGTGCCGAGTTACAGTTACTGTATGTAGGAGTATACCAAGCACGCTATAACGCGCCGTCTAAGCATTCACACCGTACATGTCAAGAGGCACCGGAAATTGCGTCACGCAATAGTTCTTGTAGCGAGGATGCAGTCCGGGTCTACGGGTGCCAGACGCAGATACAAATATGCAATGACTCCCAGGTCTTGTCTATTCTGGAAATAAGTCGAGCCTGTAACCTGGCAGACTGCTTTCACTCTTTCCTCAACTTCTCAGCATGAAGGCCGTCATCGCCTTGGCCAGTCTCATCTGCTGCACGGTGGCTCAGAGCAGCTCTGTCAAAGTGAAATGGCTGGAAGCTGCTCCTGACTACCTCGGAGGTGTGACTTTCGGTCTTCCATGGCCTCGCGGCCAACACCTGGCAAACGCAACCACATTCACGGCTTCTGGGGACACTCAACTCCAATCTTGGGTCACTGCATACTGGCCCGATGGCTCTCTGAAATGGACGGGACACGCCCTCGGAGCAATCGATTTCCCCGCGGATGAATACACTATCACCGCATCGAACACTGGCAGCTCGACTTCGTCACAAATCAAAAGGCAAAGCAGTGGTATACAGGTGACAAACATTGGAGATGAGATTGTCGTTGATACCGGCAAAGTGGCAGCAGCTTTCCCGAAGTCCGGCAACGTTTTGGTGTCTTGGATCAAGGCTGGTCGCAAAATAGTCGGAGAGAATGGTCGCTTGATACTACGATCACAGAGTGGCACGCCCGATGACGACGAGGATGGAAAGCCGACTGGCATTGACTTCTTCACCTTCACTAGCAAGGTGTCCAACGTAACCGTCTCTGAGAATAACTCGGTCCGTACATTAGTAACGGTCTCTGGCTTGCACTCAATTGTTGGAGATGGTGCACACGATGACTGGATGCCTTTTACGGTACGCTTCTATCTCTATGCCAATTCGGAGGCGATCCGCGTCATTCATACCATCATCTACGATGGAGACATGACTAAGGACTTCCTGTCTGGCATTGGCCTTCGCCTAGACGTACCGCTTTCCGAAGAGAAATTCTACGATCGTCACATCCGTATTGCGGGTGTGGACGGAGGAATGCTTAATGAGGCGGTCCAGGGTGTTACAGGTCTGCGTCGCGATCCTGGAGCGAATGTGCGCTCAGGGCAGTTCAATGGCACAGTACTTCCAAATGCGACTACTTGGGACCGGAGAGTCACAACACGCTTGCAGTGGATCCCAACCTGGAGCGATTATCGCCTTACGCAATTGTCGTCTGACGGCTTCAATTTGAAAAAGCGTACCAAGGCCGGCCAAAGCTGGGTAAAGATTCCAGGAGGCAGTCGCTCGGGCGGTCTCGCTTACTTAGGAGGATCTACTGTCGGTGGCCTTGCAGTAGGCCTACGTGATTTCTGGAAAAAGTATCCTACCAGCTTGGATATTTCCAATGCAGCCACAGACACTGGCTCCATCACCCTCTGGCTTTACAGCCCGCAAGCTGGGCCAATGGATATCAGACCCTACCATGACGGACTTGGCCAAGACACATATGCAAAACAACTAGACGCCTTGGAGATCACCTACGAAGATTGGGAGGCAGGTTACGACACACCCTATGGAGTAGGACGCACCAACGAGCTCTACATCTATGCCTTCGAGTCTACACCGTCCGCCGACAAGCTATCAACACTCACCAATTGTACCAACAACCCCCCGGTGTTGATCCCAGAGCCGGAGTACATCCGCGACACCAAAGCCATCGGATCGTACTGGGACGTTCCTGGTGCTGTTGATTCCGCACAAGCCCGTAAGATTGAAGAGAATATGGATTTTCTCATAAACTTTTACACAAATGAGGTCGAAAATAGGCGTTGGTACGGTTTCTGGGACCATGGCGATATCATACATACCTATGATGATGACAGGCACCAGTGGAGGTATGACATTGGTGGCTATGCCTGGGACAACTCAGAACTTTCCCCTGATCTCTTCTTCTGGGGATTTTTCCTCCGCACCGGCCGCGCTGATGCCTATCGTCTTGCCCACGATCAAGCTCGACACGGCGGAGATGTAGACTCGTACCATCTCGGCAACTTTACTGGTCTTGGCACCAGGCACGGTGTTCAGCACTGGAGTGACAGTGCAAAGCAAGCTCGGATTGCGACTCCCGTATACCGGAAAACTTTCTATTATATCTCCGGTGGCGACGAGCGTACCGGAGATCTGGTACGTGAAGTTCTCGATGCCGACAAGGCTTTTCTTCTCGTGGACGCGAGACGCAAAGTCAGAGACCCATCAGTTGTTTACGTGCCCGATGCTGAAGCGCTCTATCTCAATTTCGGCACGGACTGGGCTGGTATCGCACAAGCTTACCTCATTGAATGGGAACGTCACGGCCCACGTTGGGAAGAAGCTCGCGACAAGCTCATTGAGGCGCTCAAGACATATCCCAAACTCAAAAATGGCTTCATCACCGGTGAGGCGTTGTACAACAGTCTCACCGGTGCATGGGCTCCTCCACCGACGGATCCAACAAATAACGGTAGCATCACCGTCTCACATCTGTCTGGTGTTTTTGGAGTGCTTGAGACAATCGACCAACTCCATGACCATTTTGGTACCGAGCAGCAAAACGTTACCAAACCATTCCTCGATGCTTTTCTCGATTATTGTTATTACTATGGCGCTAGTAAGACCGAACAGGCAGCCCGTTACGGCAAAGACTTTGGCACACTGAATCTTAAACAAGGTCACTCTCGCTTCACGGCTTACGTTGCCCATCATCGTAATAACGCGACACTTGTTCCAAGGGTATGGTCGGAGTTCCTAGGCGATGGTAGCAAGGACGGGCTTGCACCCAATGCACCCTGGAAGACGGAAAGGATTGATGGGAGCGCCGTCCTGATACCGGTTAATGAGGCGAAATGGGTCAGCACAAATGCTGCAGCCTTGTACGGAGTGGCAGGTATTGAGAATCTGGCGCTCGTTGGTGCACCAGATGTGAACAAATTGAGCGGCAACGGCACTGCGAATCCTCAGTTGTAGGTTGGTTAGGACAATGGCCGCTGATATTATGTCAATAAAGTATGCACATGAGCCAATCATAATCCAAATATTGAGATTACACAAATTGAGCACCAGTCGCTTGAACTCAGCCGGGCGAAGCGTCTACCACAAGGGCCCATTTCTTCTCCTGCCGTTGTGAATACAGCATAACAGGGTTGGTAATTAGGCGTCATGGCAGATTTGGGAATCTTATGCTGATAGGCTTCATGGCTGACGAAGTTAGTCTGACCACGGCAATCAAACTCAGTGCGCTGTTGTCTGTATACATCATGTGCGTAGTGCCTTTTCGCATGTCCAGCTATCACATCCGGTCCGGAAATAGGCCCATTGATTACATCCAAAACGCTGGTCCCATTGGAGTCCATCACTCCTCTCAGTCACGAACATGCTCACGGGTGAATTTCCCTTCCTAAAGAGCTGAAGTTGCGAATTCCAAAGTTCTTCAACGTGCATCTTCCATGAATGGCCATGATATATACTGATGAACACTTCTTCCAGGTTGTAGAGCACCACCCATTGCCCTTGCTGCGCATGAAACCCCAAAATTGCATCGCTTACGACACCTTCTGGTCCGAGAACATTTTTCACTCCAGGACAATAAAATCATAACCAAGACATGCTACTTCTGGCTGCCTTGACTTAGTAGTCCACCCGGGCAACCCCCATAGTTAACTCCTATAGGATTCATGCATTTGCAGTAGCTGTAGGAGCCGGCTGTATAAAACATTACAGCGAAGTGACACAAATTTAAAATATCAGAGACGAAAGGGAAGATCGTTCGTCATTATTGGAGGAATGGGTAACACTGTGATGATGAATGAGCTGAGTGGTCCAGTCCGTCCTGACGCAGGGAAGATTAGCTGAGTTGTAAGTGATAGTTAGGAGGAATGATTTGTACAGTTATTACTCTCGACACTACGGTACAAAATTGTTTATAGTAGAATAGTGTCCTAGGGGTTTACTATATAGGGGTAAATAACTTATTTTTATACCTATATATATATTTAAAGTAGTGGTTTACTTGTTTAGCAGAGGTTTAAATTAAGTGTAAAAAGTAGTTTTGTTTCTATTATATACCTAACTAAGACTAAAGGAGGTAGAGAAGATTAGCTTTACACTATATATATATAATATAATATAATAATAAGATATAATATTTCTACTAATAGGAGGTAGTAATAGAGGTAGTAGTATAGATAGTACAAGTAGTAGTAGAGGTAGTAGAGGAGGTGGTAGTAGTATACTGTATAGGTAGTATAGGTAGTAGTAGTAGTAGTAGTAGTAGAGGTAGTAGTAGAGGTAGTAGTAGAGGTAGAGGTAGAGGTAGTAAAGAGGATTAAAGAAAGGAGGGGTAAAATATTTAAATAGCTAGTAGGAAACTAGTTATTACTATACAATACTATTAAATTAATAAAAGTATAAATAAAAGTGGTTTACTTTTATAGAATATATAGTATAGTAAACCCTATTTAGATTTACTTCTTCTACCTAAACTACTTCTTAGTCTACTTTAGATAAATATAGCTACTATAAACCAGTTTTGTACTGTAGTGCGAGTAATGTCTCACGTATTGGCCATGGACTGAATGGTGAGTTTCACACCTGGCGCTACGCGGATCTCATTAGATGAGACATCCTTGATAGTCGGGATAAGCAATTATATTTATCTTTGAGACTTTCGCTTATTAAGGAGTCCGGTATGCGATCCTGAGTCTGTATTTTTAAGCTCTTTATTTGATACCACACCGTGAACAGTCATCTCATCAGCAATCGGTCATCAAAAGATGAACAGAATGTCCCAGAAACACACTCCATGGAGCTGTAGCAAACCGGAATTGACATGACTGAACCTGTAGAAAACTTTGGCAATGCTCTCATGTTGAAATCTATGGCGGCTCGGATTATCGCGATTGCCTGTCAGTGCCCTAACCGTCTTTCACCTACATTTGCGCGATGACGCCACGGCACGCGCATATCAGAAATATCGGCCAGCATGAGATTGTCTGTGAATGTGACTCTTTACTGTATTTTGCGGTGAATGGGAGTCTCAAAAGGGTCAACAAAGCAGACGCTAGACTGACGATAGCTGGCTCAACACACAATACCTTTGTCTCTCACCACCTCGCCCGCCTTCTCACAACTTTCAACACAACCGCCATCTTATACTCTACATCATAATTCAAACAAATTTCCGAAAGCAAGTATGGCTAGAAACCACAACAAGCGGCTCCCAGCTGGACGACAGCCGGGCGCAGCCACCAGTGTCAACACTCAATCTCAACTGCGCGCAGCACCACAACGAGCGCGCGGCATCGGCAAGAAGAAGCATCCTCAACATCGATCATCCCTTGCTGGCCATATGATTCACCATGATCAGACTCAGCTTCAATCTCAGCAAGGCGGCGAGCAACAGGCAGCACAACAGCACGCAAGTCTAAAGAAGCGCAAACGCGGTGAGACTGACGACGGCACGCAGCAACAGAAGCGAGTGCGCGCGGATACAAACTCTGATTCTAAATCTGAGTCCTCGAGCCCTTCCAACGAAGTTGGCTGTCAGCTGCATGCCCACAAGGATGTCGCTCAGTCAGCAGTCACAGATCTGAAGATGCTGCAAAACATGAGTGACGAGCAGAAGATGGCGCTCCGTCGTGATCGCTTTTCCAACACAGAAGCCGAACGTCGCATTCTGGGGGCCAGCAAGATCACGAAAAGCAATGGTAGAAGCATAGCTGCGTCGACCCGAAAGGTTCCTGAGCAACGTAAGACGGAAGGCGTTGAGAGAGCTGTCTTATGCGATGCCATTCTTACCAAAATAGATGGCGGCAGTCACGACAATAACGAAGAATACAATGTGTCTATTGTTCAAGAGCCATCAGTCACAAACTGCATGGGCGATAAGGGTATTCCAACAAAGACCGTTAATCATCCTGTCAACCAGGCCTACAACGCGAGAACCGATTCCGTCCTTCAATCATCTCCGGCCTCAACCACTCACAGCCACCAACTCAGCAATTACAGCATCCACGAGAATTCATCGCAGGACAGCTCACCTCCTCCCAAGACTACGGAACTCGGGAAAGACGCCGGCTACACCGTCAGCCCGACCACACAAACACAGCGCAAGCCTGAGAAACGGGTAGTGATAGCGCAGCCCGGTACTTCCAAGCATACAAAACAGAAGCTCCAAAAGTCTCAAGTGATCGTCGAGGATGACCGAAAACGTATAATTGAGCCCAACCTGGAGTATGTTCTCAACTATCAGCCTTATGATTTTGCAAGCGTGCTCTTAATGGCCTCATTCAACATTACACGTGATGAAAAAGCAGAAGAATCGGCAGATAGATGGTTCAAATCGAATCAGATTTTAAACCACAATGCCATGGAGATGTACAAGCGTCCCTGGACATCTCAAGATTACGGTCGCGAAGCCATCAAGAAGACCTTGCCGACCCGCACTATTGACGACTGCGATCTCTATTACCGCGATGATCAGAAGATCTATGTGGCTACTGAGAGAGGATTACTCCTTGTTGCGGATTATTGCAAGGCAATTGGTGTCCCAGATGAGCAGGGTGTTCGATTCGAGGGCCGCAAACCCAAGTGGGTCAAGAAGCTGGAGGCAGATCGACACTACCGCCGAGTGGAATTGGATCACCCTGGGAACAAGGGCTCCTTTCTACATCCATGCATTTCTCTCAGGATGGGATCCCTTGTGGAGGTGTATGAACGTTGTCAAGGTGTAGATGCTGCAGGCGTCACCTGGAACTTCGCATACGGCAGACGTACTGAAGACGGTGTCACTGGCTTCTTCGACTTTAGCTACACTGGGCGTACAGATGGAAACAAGGACTCTGAAGAGGAATGCAGGGTGCCAAACCCCAATATCATTGATTGGAGCAAATTCGATTATGGTCCCGGTGCCGAGAGTGGCAGGAAGTACTTGGCTGATCTGGCTGCTGGTATATCTGCGTCGCAATCGCAACAAAAAACCTCGGCGACCACAAAATCACCGCTTTCTGTAGCAAATAATTCAAGTTCATTGAAGAAGGAAGCATGTTTGGGTAAAAAGGGCCAAAGAGGGGTACAAGCTGAGACAGCTGCCCCAGCGGTACCAACGATCACCAATCCAGCGACCACTAGCCCTGCGGTATCCACTTGTCATGCAAACGAAGCGCAGAGTATTGAGTCAGTCGCTCCTCATACAACACCTAGTACGCTATCAGGAGAGACTGCAATAGCAGCATCAGAAGTGCCGATTGTCGGAACGAATCAGCCCATACAGCGCCCGGAGACGCTCAAACTGACAGGCGGTCCCCACAAGGACTCTCCACGCAAGAAATCCAAAATCGTTGACGCCTGCTTCAAAGCTGGAGAGCCTATGAGCTCGGAGAATACTGTTCAGGAGGCGACTGCTGGCACCGACAACGCCAACGTCCAAGACGACCTCGAGACTGACCCGACTGAACAAAATGTGTCCGTCACTTCGCTAGCCCTTGCACGACCTACTTTCACTGCCGGCACAATCCGTAGAAAGGTCGGTCCCAATGAATATGTCGAAGACGAAATCGACTACGACGATGATGAGTTGTAGAGCACAACCTCTTGGTGTCGCCCCTTGGATTCTCGGTAACGAGCGATACATCTCATAACGCACGTCGTCGTGCTCCTTGACCGATCTCCCGATAGCTCAGAGCAGCCTGCCACCAGACAACGTAGCATCAGCATGATCACCCACATGTACACATGACATAGCACAAACAGTTTGTACTTTGGATTTGAATTTCTCGCAAAACGAATTTTACGCAAACAAAATTTGAAAAAATTTGAAAGAATCCCACAAAGCATCATTAAAAAAAAAACTTGGAGAAAATTGTATCATGGGAGAGAGAAGTCAGCTAAGCCTATACAGGAGGAAAAAAAAATTGAAAGTTATAAAGACACTTGCTGTTTTACAATGAGTGATGTTGAAAGCGACGACTCAAGTGATGTTTTTCATGCACAGCAGAATTAAGGCTAGCGGAAGCAAGATGCTTTTTGTCCGAGGTGATTGTTTGCTGCAGCTTTTGTTTGACTTCTAGTCATCCGGGTAGTGGGCGCTCGGGCTTCTCTCTTGTTTCCCTTCTTCGCTGCAGCACCAGGAGTCTTAACCTTTGCACCGCTGCCTTGTGCAACTTGCTTGGCCGGTTTCCCTCCTTTGGGATCTATCTTTTGTCTTTTGCCTGGCCCCGTTTCAACGTGCTGAGGAAGGTCCCCAGCCTCGTCATTCTTCTTTTCGTCCTTTTGTCCGTCTTCCTCATGACAAAGCTTTGAGGGAGCCGTCGCCGGCTGCTGCTGAGCAGGTGACTGTTGAGTAGCCGACCTCGATTCGCTTTCTGAGTTTTCGGTCGGACCTACCTCTCCGACTGATGGCTTGGATTGAGAGCCAATGGCTTCTGGAGCTTCTGTCCCACGGTCGTCCAATCCCGGTCTATTGTCCCAATAATACTTATACTGGGCCAGTCGATTCGTCTGCTCACTCCTCACATTCTCCAAGCTTAGTCCATCCTTTCTATTCCTTCGAATGAACTTGTAGGACTTGCCAATATTCAACGGAAATCCCGTGAACGCTGCTACTGCGCTATCATTGGAACGGAGGCCAGACCAGTTCTTGATGCTATGGCCTAGCACAGGTAGCTCTGGAGGTAGGATAATGGTGTCAGCTGGATATCTCTCCCGGTTAGCGGGATAATCGACATATTTCAAAGTTTGACGGTGAGCTTTGGCAAAGTCCATTTGCCCATCGCTCTCGACATGCAGGGGTCGCCGAGGCAAACCTGTTTCATCGACAGAATGTTTCGCTGCAGAGGTCGGGGAAGAATCAAGTTTAGGAGAATGTTCAAACTTCTCCTTGTCCTCAGCCGGTGTGGCGGGATTCAATCTGTCAGCCATTCTACGGAAAGGGTATGTTCCGATGAAGTGGCAGATGACTGGATCTAATATGGCTATGCCACGCGAGTTGAATCTTCCCACGGTGATCTCCAGTGTCTCGAGATGACATCGATTGAGTGGAGTCTTGTACATTTGTAAGATGAGTGCGTCAATGAGAGGCCGCTGGACAAATTTGGGAAGACCGAGTTGGAGCATCGCGTTGTAGAGGTGAATCTTATCGAGAATGTTGTCTGGTATAGGCATGTGGAGATTATTTGCGTTTAGTGGGTTCATAAAGGCGTCCTCTGTTTCGCGGGTAGTCCTGCGGCCTGCAATCTTTGTTTCTTTGCCTTCGTTTCTCCTCTTCATTAGATTTGCCAGTTTTTTGAGCCATGGCACAATGTGCGACTTGATTTCGTCGGAGCGTATATAAGCCATCTGTGGATCGAGTATCTTGACATGCGACTTCCCACCAACGACTATACGGCCAGGGAATTCACTCTCTAGTTTTACGTCGCTGCTTCTCTCTTGATCGGTTATATGTATTCTTGGCCACGAGACAGGAAGTATCAGCTCTCTACTGGTAGGATTGTATCGGAAATGCTCTTCCGCAAGGGTTGATCCTCTTATCAATGCAGCGCGATTCACGAGTATACGCTCCTCGGTAGAATTTTGATGAGGTAGCCATTCCCATGCATATTCAGAGTTCGTCTGATACGTCTGATTATACAGGGTCCTGAAGTTTTGTTTTTCGATGACAATCACAATGTTCTCAGTAGATGCGGGTTGATTCCTCTTGTTATAGATGTCGATCTGATCCTCATATCTCTTTTTGGTCGCCACCTTGTGGGCTTCTTGTTCCAGGTAATTTTCGTGCGCTATGACCACGCGGCCATTCGAGTGGTAGAGAACCATCGCGCGGCAGATTTGGGCGGCGAACGTGCTCAAAATGATGGGTGATAGTAACCTGAACTATGAAACACAACGATGGTGTTATACAAACGTTGGATATATAGGTAGGTACCTTGTCAATCGCAGAGTAGATGCAACAAGTAGTGTCCAGAGCAACGCAGGGTGCGAGCAGCCGCAATATAATACGCTTACACTCCTAATGTACTTTCATTGTTGTCTCTACGTTCGGCAGATTAGCCCACTCAAAACAAAGGCATTGACTTCCTCGGAAGCCCGGATCGTCGAACATGATGTGCCAATTTCTTTCATCTCCGAGCCACAACACAGCTTGAACAAGGGATAGCACTCCGTATGCGGCAGTGGCGGTCATCCATGGCCTTGCACGTTCGCACACCGGAGTGGTAGCGATGGAAGGGTAGTAAGCCTAGGTAGATATACATGCAAACGAACGTCAGTTGCGAGTGAGGATCCGACAGTCGTTGTCATTCGGGCCAGAAGGAGCTTAGTGTCAGATAATGTACCCAGTACCTATATCTTCCAACAAGAGATCGCCTGCCTTTCAGCTCCGCCATGGGCAAGGCAGTGAAGATGCGTACCCCAGGACAACTAGCCATGCTAGGCTTGATATTGGTGCCTCAAGCCCGACCCATCACATTATACCATTATACTTGAAGATAGGCGCCCTGGCTTTGATGCATTCAGGCCCACCCTGACGACAGCTTTTAGGAGTATCGAATTCTCAAGTTTCTTGCCAGCTCGAGTGCGTACAAAATCTGGTGGAGCCGCCTGTAATTATTTTGCAGATTGCCAATAGGTAGGCATGCTCGGCCAAGGCACTATCACTCCAGAGAGAGAATGGGTCCACAATTGCTGCACGCACATTCAGTCAGCAAGACAAGGCATTCACATTTGTTCAGATAAACGGCCTGTGCCTGCCTGTTATCAAGGATTGCTCTAGATTATAGACTTCCGGTGCCTGTATCTCTATAGCTCCAGCCTCGTACTTTGCTCAACATCCTCCGCATTCTTCGTCGTCTTCCCATTCCCACAAGCGCGTTCGAGCGTCAGAAAAGCAAAATGGCCGCCTACAACAGGACGCGCGAAAAAATGTGCTTCGGGAAATCCGCCATCTCGCTCTGTATCATACAAATCCGTGAGGGCTCTGTCCGTACTTGTCTCATTGATCCATCTAGCCACCCTGTCCAGGATTTCCTTTCGCGTAGACTCGCTAGCGACGGCTGCAGCTTCAAATTCCCAGTCAGACTTGGTGTACAAATGGCGGCTGTCGAGTGGTAATCCGAACTTCTGCATTACGGCCGAGTACCATGAAGATTGTTTCTTGTAGATAGAATGAGGTATAAAGTCGTGTGTGATCAGAGAGCGACCACCGTGCGAAGACAGTGATTGCTGCTCCTCGCGGCTAGTCGGGGGGAACACCGAAGCTATTGGAAGAGAGGAGGCATTTGTGATGGTGGGATGGAAACACAACACTGCGTCGGCGTAAAGCGAATACAAGGTCGTCCAACTTCCGTACCAATCATATGCAAGCTTAGCATGCGACCCATCGCGGGACATGCCGAATGCTTCCCACTTCTTGATGTAGACTTCAGATATGTTCTTGTAGTGTTTCGCATCACCAGGCCGGTCGAGGAGGAGTGCTAGTTCGCTGAAAGCCTTGATGCCGATGATACCCTTGAGGGCGAGATTTGTCTGCAAGGGCAGCCAGCCGGCGAAGTCGTCGGTACATACTGCCATCATGTTATGGGTGATTTCGCGACACACAAGGGGAAAAAGGGCAACTAACGCTGATTGTGCGGTTCAAGAGCATCTTCAACGAGGTAGCCCGTCCATTGTTTCCAAAGCTCATAGCTTCCTTCCAGCCATGCCTTGGCTTGCTCGACACCCTTCGTCCCTCCGCCCCACGTCTCATCGATATAATCGATATCGTTGTGCGAGCCAATACTTGTCAGTGCAAACGGCTTCTCTGTCGTTCCCGTAGCCCTTTGAGGAGCGTCATTGCCTACACTTGACCAGACAGACTGGGCCTCGGCGTCGTTGTTGTAAGTCAAAGAGTTGACGAGGGCAAGCCCCATGATGAGCATATCGCCACATTCTTCAACCGGCATATATTCGTCCCTTCCATCCGCATGTCCGGTCAAGTTGGGAAAGTGCGTGCCCAGGTCGTGCATAGAGTACTTGTTGGGGTATTGGCCGCTCAATTGATGCTCAAGCAACGGCTCTAGCAAGAAGGCCAACCACCTGGGTTGGGTGTACAAGAAGAAGGGAAAGGCTGGGAAGATGACATCGACAGTCTGACAGTTGCCATTGGAGGATATTTCCTTTAGGAAGAGCAGTGGATTCTCGGGTGTTCCGGAGAAGCTTGTCGCACCCATGACTTGTCGTGCGGACAAGGCGACAATGTCGACATAGTTGGTTGATCCAGATTGATATGCGTCGATGCGGAGCTGCTCCGAGTAGTTACTCGCTAGGCTGACGGATGTTGAGAAGTCTCCATAGTGGAATTGGACGAGTTTCTCGAGCGTTGGGAACCATGACTCCCACAGCGGCCTCATCAGCGTGAGTCCGCGTGCAGAGGCGTACTGAGTGACAGGATCCTGAGTATGCGCTATAGTGAACAGGACACTACTGTCTACGGACGAGCCCGTCGAAGTAGACGTTGCGTTGGCCAGAGTGAATTTTTTGGCAAAAGCAAACACAGGTTCTTCATCCATGACAGCACGGAACTTGGTGTCTACCTCATTCTGCAATGTGCCCGTCCGCGCAAACCTCTGTCGAAGCAGTGCAGAGGTGCCACATTCGTGTCGAGCATCAGCAGGGCCTGTGAAGTGCAGCTGGCCCCACTCTGCCTGATCGTTCGTTTCTGTGAAGATCTGCTCGACCTGACGCTTCACACTCCAGGTTTTGAGGCCCTGGGCGGTAGCCTGCTCGTTCATATCCCATTCTATGAGGCTGTCGCGCTTTCCGCTGACCCATTGGCCATTCATATCCACGTACAGGCTGACGTCGAAGCTTCCCTGTACATGTATGGACAAATATGCAGCGGGGATCGCTTGTCGCAGGGTCGATGTTGGCGTAATTGGGGAGTGGAAGGATAGAGTAATGTCGAGATCCTTTACGCCAGCAAGCTTCTCTGGCGCCCCAATCGAGTAGGTGAGATTCGTGGTGGACGCGTCATATTTGGCGCCTTTGTATTTGGGATAGACAATCGCATAGCTGTGGGATGCCGTGGTCAGCTAGAAGCATTCAACAGCATCATCGCAAGGTGGGCCAAGAAAAGACATACTCGTTGCTTTCTGGCTGCAAGGAGTCCTGAGGCCGACCGAGCAGCGGATATATTTCATTCGTATCAGGCAGAGATGCAAGGACACTAAAGCCGACCTGGTGGATGGGTTGTGTTCAGCAGCGGGACAGCCAGCCGTGGGCGTGTGTAAACAGCTGGTCACATACCTCTGAGCCCGTCCAAAACGTGGGCCATTTGCTCCATGGCTCTTCACGTGCATTCTGCAGCCATGTGCTCAGGTACGGATTCCGCACTATCAGGGGCAGTACGGGTGGAATGAGACTCGAGGTTTGCGCAACGTTTGCCAGAAGCGTTGCGGCTGTAACAATAGCAAGGCGCATTGCAGAACCAGCTCACTCGAGCCTGTTTTGCGAAATCAAGATGAACAAAGCGAAAGAACAGACTCAGATAGAATGCGACAGTATCATGGATTCACGTCTAGGTACCGACGACAACGTATGGGGTGTGCTTGTCGAGAGTGTCCTGGAGCTGTCAGAAGGGGGAAAGGCTGGGGTAGCTCTGGACCTAAGGTTGCGGGGGTAAATGCGGAGAAAGTCATTGGCAATGGCTGGTCCCTTGCATCATCAAAACATCCGACGACGAGCCGTCCTCAATCGAGCCATACTATGTATCTCTGGCATCATGACAGAACTGCACATGTCGCCTTTATTCATGCAGGTCACATGCGGAAGGCACGATTTTCCAGAGTAGATATGCACGACCTCTGACCTCATGTTGCACTGCGCGCTCCCACCCTCCCGGTCGCTGGACTGGCAGCACTTGGACCTGAGACGGTCCGGCGTCTCCAAGCCGCCGGGAGCATCTTCCTAAACATCAAACCAGCTCGTTCACTGGCCTTTACCATTGGCGGTGTTGTAATGCTCTCTCTGACGCCCCTTACAGGACTTGGAGTCCGCTTCTTCCATTCGTCAACCGCGAATGCTGGGTGAGGACGGTAAGCTGTCGACGAGGCTGACTCACTTCTACATGCTGGCACTGGGCATGGCGCCGATGCTGCATCGGGCGGTGCCAGCCTGATCGAAGGTGGAATGGACAGACGGTAGAAATGGGGAGGTGTAGAGACAGAGCTGCTACGCTGGGACGCCGTTTCATTATTACTATTATTCCTCTTCTCCGCATGCATATCAGGCGAGCTCTTGTCGACTTCTGGAGTACCGCTTGGAATATAGGTTCTGGGCTGGTTCGAGGTCTTACTGGCTCGGCGTACCGAAGTACCCATGGTAAGTAAGCCTGCTATCCCATTGGCATCCACGATGCGAATGGAGCTGCGCCTAGGAGGTGCCACCGCGTCCGCGGTGGATGCCTTGATACAGGCAGGTTTAGACCCAGCGTCCTGTGTAATGCTGTCATGACTGCGGTCGAGGAACACATCTTCGCACTGTTGACTGGCCAGCTGCTTGCTTAGGCTTCGCTTACCAGTGGGTGAAGTATCCAGTGGTTCAATGACGGGTAGATTGTCGTCTTCGCTGGCAATGGCCTCACCCGGCTCGAGCAGCCCCAGCTCTCGTAACTGGTCCCAAGTGCGGTAGTAGTAGCGAAAGGTCGCAAAGGGCTGGTCGATGGGATCAATGAGTGCAAATTTGTAGAAGCGTTTCGGCTGCTCCGGCCCAGCACGGCCAGCACTGACAAGTCTGATTTTGCTTAGTGGTCGAGTTCATGTTTGGGTTGGTCTTTGTCCACTTACCTGACGCCCCTGCTGTGCTTTGCATGCGGTGTCTTTGTGTACTCCTCAAACACCCTTTCCACCCGTTTTCTTGCATTGGCTCGGTGTACCCTGACTTCGACGCGCGCCGTCTTGTCGTGAACGTCGGCAACGTCCTTCCACATGTGGTCCCTGCTGTCTGGTGGCGTGAAAGCGAGTACTCGCTTCTCTACTCGCTTCCTGTCCTCGCTACTCTCACTGCTTTCGAACAGGCCAAACATGGTCTTGCCCTCCCATCCGTCTTCTTTCCCAGTGGAGAAGCTTACGATGTGCGCGCCATTGATGTAGAGCTTGAACAGGAAGTAGTGGCCAGTAGGCACCGGCGGCTCGACCGAGTAGCTGATCCAAAAGGTACTGCCTGGCAAGACTGGGACGTAAACGCTACACGTCGATGTGGTGTCATCGATAAGGTCTGGGATGAAGCCGGTGATGGCACGGGCGAGGTAACTCTCTTTGGCTTCAGGCGGATACTCTGGAAATGTCTCGATATCGAACTGCGAGTGCAGCGACAAGTTGATGCTGCGATAGGTAGGCATTGCTGCTTGTGTCGAGGACAGCAGCAAACTAGGGTGGAGCCCGGGAGTTCCTCATGGCAGGTGAGGAGGTGGTACCAGGCAGAAGCGGAGGGTGCTGATGCTGTGTGTTTGCACCTTCCCTATCTAAGCATTGACGCGGAGGGTGGACACTGGGCACCACGAGACTCCCGTCCATGGCTGGATCTTGGATCCTTGGACCGCGATGCTTTGCAGACCACGACTCGGCTTGGCTGATGATGTCAGAGCAAGCGTCTGGCAAAACAATACAATCACGGCAGAGACAACAGGCCCCGCCCGCGTATCTGCCCAAGTGGCCCTTATCACCATCACCTGATCTGTGTGCTCACGTTGCTTCTCTGGATTTGGAAATACTTGGCCGACATGCTGAGTAGATAGGATAGATAGGGACCGTTTCTACCCAAGGAGTCCATTTCTTGTCCTCCCTCTTCCCAGACTACCTGTACAGCTTGAGGTCCTTTCTTGTCACGGGTGCAGGGCGGCCAACACGGCACATAGGCTTCCTCCAGCGACCAGCCCCACCCTCAGCAAGTTCAACACAGCCCAACGATCTATCAGAGCATGCACCGTCTCGGATCGATCAGCTTCCACATCGTCCCAGCCACCCGGCATGCCCGCCTTCGTACGCGCACTCTTTTGGCTCAGGGATGCAAACTCGTCTTTCTTGGCAATCAACTTGTTGTTTGTCGGCACAATGAAGGCAAACGTGAAGGGCACTATCGATGGGATGAGGATGGTGGCGGCGACATGGAGCTTGAAGGGTATCGAATCACGGGGTTCTGTGTTGTTGCGTGGTCAGCTTGCGTTGAACTGGTAGCCATGCCCATGGCAAACGGGGTTGCAAGCTGTGGGCTGCGAACTGTGGCTGCGAGGGGATCAGGCAGCAGGGGAACGAGCGTACGTGTGTAGGCGGCATAGGCTGTTGCTAGGGCGCTGAGCATGGCGAGAGGGCGAGCGAGGGTGCCGCCGCGGGTCAGGACGGTGTACCATTGTTTTGCGGCGAGGGGAGCGGGCGCTTGGAGGACTGCGGGAACGGCGATGAGGGAGAGGGCTGCATTGGAACCTTACAGCAGGTGAGCAGGTGGACAAGTGAGCAGGTGAGCAGGCGAGCAGGTCAGGGCGAGAAGTCAAGTGACAGCTCGCGGCAAATGATAGCTAGCTAGACAGGGAGAGTGTTATGGTCAAGTGGCATACCCAGCAAGTACAGACTGGATGTGATGCCTACAGTCTGTGCGATCAGAAGGCCTAGAGGCGTCGATGGCCCGGACACGATGTCTCGAGAGGGCATGAGAGTGTGCAGGGGAGGGAGAACTGGTTGGTGAGTGGAAATCAAAGCAAGAATCGGACAAGGCGGGCGAAAAGAAGTGTTGTGCGGTTGAGCGGTCTCAGTGAGATGGACTCTAGCTAGTAGAACCCAATTCCCTAGACCTGCTACGGAGAGACCGATTACCCTCTGTAGACACCCTTGAGCTTTCCCTTACATGCCTACTCCACCTGCTGGTTACCTAGTCCACCTAGTGATCACAGTACCTATATCGTCTTCTTGTTTGTTTGTATACCTAGAGTACCGACCGCTGCCCCAGCCACGGAGGACAAGTTCAAAGCCCCACCTCGGCCCCTCTCCCACAGGTTCCAGAGGGGTCCCAACCCCATGTCTGTCCATGTGTGTGCTCTCCTTGTGCCTCTAAGAAAAGAATGGCTAATTGATTCCATGACAACAGTGCATCGCAAAAAGGAAAGAGAACCCACAAGAGTATTTCTTGCTCTTGCCCAGACAGAGGTTCAGACAGCAATGAAACGGTCATGGCCTCGAACAGGGGCTGACGATGCCTGGGTAGCTAATGGTAGGTACATGGTAGGTACGTACCGGCCGGTCGGTAGCTCATGATGATGCGCTCGTTCCCCGGCTCTCGACTCTCGACAACACCTCGACTCTCCTCCACCGTACCTCATCGCGAAGAAAGCAGTGGGATTGTGAGAGAAAAGGCAAGACAGGGTTTTGTTGTTGTTGTTGTTGCTGTTGCTGTTGTAGAGGCAGGACGCTCCGTTGCGGTCATGTTCTGTACGTGTGGCAGAGGCCAAGAGAAGCCAGCAAGACGAGGGAGACTGCTAACGAGTCTGGCTAGCCCTCACGTCCACGGCCAACCTCCGCCATGTCACGCCTCTGCCTCGGTCGATCACGTTTGCGCAGGCCGTCGGCTACCTGCACAACCACGATTTGCTCATCCGCCTCGATCCCGAATTTGCGTCGTACGAAGTACTCCCCACCGACCCTGCTGTTCCCCAGGCCAAACGCTACCAAGTGACGGACCACATGCATGCCCTCCCCGCCGGCCTCTGGGGGACCACCGTCAGCTTTCTTGCCGAGATGACGGATGTCGAAGACGGGGTGTTGTGGAGGATCAAAGCACCGTTGGGCTTGCTGCAGACGACGACGTGGAAGTTGACGAGGACGGAAAGGCTCGAGGAGGACGAGGCCAAGGGTGTTGTGGACGAGGAGCGAGGGGAGTGGAGTTTGGTGGAGGAGGTCGAGATCAAGGCGAATCGCCTTCTCACGGGGACTGTCAAGGCCAAGTGCGAGGAGAATTGGCCGGGGGTACATGGCAGGTTTGTGGCGCATTTGAAGGAGGGAGTGGCAAAGGCATTGGAAGGAAGTGAGCATGTAGTTGTGTAGCCTAGTCTCCATGTACAATCCATGCATTGCAGTGTTGTAGTCTAGTCTCCATGTACAATCCATGCATTGCAGTGTTGTAGTCTAGTCTCCATGTACAATCCATGCATTGCAGTGTTGTAGTCTAGTCTCCATGTACAATCCATGTATTGCAGTGTTGTAGTTACAGTACCCATGTTCTAGCATGTGGTAAGTGCCTACAGTCCAGTACTACAAGTACCCACCATATGTCTCCACTGGTACTATGCGCGAAATGAGTCTAGGTGTCGGGTGCTGCAAAGAGACGTACTCGAGGAGTACATGGAGACCCTGCATGTCTAGAGTAGTGCGCACCACTTGGGTACAGCAGAGTAGGCAACACAACAGCACACACACACCTAGTACTAGAGTAGAGTAAGAGTATGTAGAACACACACCTAGTACTAGAGTAGAGTAAGAGTATGTAGAACACACACCTAGTACTAGAGTAGAGTAAGAGTATGTAGAATACACAGACCAGCAGCATGCCTAATGGAAAATGGCAGAGAGGGCGAATCCAGACTAGGATTGTGGCCGTCTGACGCGGGCGTTTGTCTTGTCTCAGACCGTCTCTCAGCTGGAGAGGTCAAGCGACCTGAGGTAGGGCAGAGTAGATGGTGGATGGTGGAGGAGGGGCAAACAGGAGGGGCACGTGGCAGTCGGGCCTTTCCGCTTGTTTATCAGCACGATAAGGGAGAGAGAGAGAGAGTGTGTGTGTGTGTGTGAGAGAGAGAGAGAGAGTGTGTGTGTGTGTGTGTGAGAGAGAGAGAGAGAGAGAGTGTGTGTGTGTGTGTGTACATGCCCAACATACCATGTACTCCTAGCATCACATGTACCGACCGTGTGTCGGTATAGGTATCCATACAGCACAGTACCTAGAGCGAGCGACACGACGCCTGGGCGCTGGCCATGTCTGCTCACTTTTTGCTTTGATCCATCCCGCTTCACGCTTCTCTTCACCTGCGAAAAGTGAGTGATCCAATCCTCTAGAGTAGTACACTGTCATTGTTCAGTCGCGCCCCCCAGGCCTTGGCTCCAACCCGCCTCCACCACCACACCTGCCTGGCCCTGGACTGGAACCTGCACCTGCACCTGCACCTGCACCTGGGCAGGGGGCGCTTCATCTTCCAAGGCTCCGACTTTGCGTTCTTGAATGGCAAAGATCCATCTCCATCGTTCTTCCTTATGAAATGGATATTTACAGTTGAAGGTTCCCTACCTACCCTACCTACCGGCCGGTACCTAGCCAACTGAATCGCCGAGGTCGTCGACCAAACCAGCCCCACCTGTGCAGCCCATCCAGCCCAACCCTCCACTGCCTGCTTCACTCACCATCACTGCCCTCCCCCTCCCCCTCTCCCTCTCCCTCTCCCAGTGGTCATGGAGCAGCCCGTGTCCATCGACGCCATCGTCGTCGACGACCACGTGGAAATGCCCTCGGCCCCAGACACGTCCACCGAATCCATCGCCATGGAACAACCAAAAGTCAAGACAAGACATCGCTTCCTCCATGGCCTGCACCGCATGGGTTCATCGCCCAGTCTGGCCGCTGGAATGGCTACCGGCAGAGCTCGCTCACAGAGCCTGAGGACTGGCGGGAAAGCGTCCATGTCCTGCGTGTCGCTGGCCTTGCCTGGCTCGCCCTATGGCAACCCGTTGGCTACCTCCTACTCGTCCGAGTCGTCGCATACCTTCTCCACAGCGCCCACCTCAGTCGCCAACAGCCCGCCTGGTAGTCCCTTCTGCGACCCAAGGACACGCCTGCACACCAAGACACCCGATCTCCCCTCCTCTGTTCCTCTGCCTTCGGCTCGCCGACCCCTCACTCGGGACGGCCTAGAAGCCGAGAGCGACTACTTCTCCTCCCGCCCCATTGCGAACAAGGCTCGGAAGCGTGCCAACTTCAGCTTCTGGGCCGACATGCCAGCAGAGATACGCATGCAGATCCTCCGACACTTGCCACCAAAGGAGATTGTGCGCTGCTCACGCGTCTCCAGGTCGTGGCATGCCATGTGCTTTGATGGCCAACTCTGGAGCGACTTGGACACCAGCCACTTTTACCGCGACATATCTGCCAAGGCTTTGGTCAAGATCATCACATCAGCAGGGCCCTTTGTAAAGGACTTGAATCTGAGGGGCTGCGTGCAGCTCAAGGAGCTATGGGCCGAGGGTGGCTTCATTGACGCTGTCCAGAACCTCGAACACTTCTCGCTGCAAGGATGTCGCATCGACCGAACGTCCATTCACTCCTTCTTGCTACAGAATCACCGGCTGGTACACGTCAATCTCTCCGGCCTCGCAGGAGCAACCAACGCGGCCATGAAGATCCTTGCGGCACACTGTCCCCGCGTTGAAGTGCTCAATATCGAATGGTGCAACAACATTGACAGTCGGGGACTGAAGAAGGTCGTCGAGGGCTGCCCACGGCTACGTCATCTCCGCGCGGCCGAGGTGCGAGGCTGGGACGATGTCGACCTCATGCTTGCCTTGTTCAAGCACAACACACTCGAACGTCTCGGCTTGAAGAATTGCGACAGTCTCAACGATGAGTCTTTGGCAGTCCTCGTTGAAGGCGTCGACGAGGAGATGGATGTGCTGACCGATCGACCCATGGTCCCGCCCCGCAAGCTCAAACATCTCGACCTGACGCGTTGCCGCAGCATCACAGAGGATGGGGTCAGGACGCTCGTCGGCAACGTTCCCTACATGGAGGGCTTGTCAGTCTCCAGATGTGGGGGCCTTGGCGATGACCCGCTCATCAGTCTTCTTCCCACCATGCCCGTCCTCACCCATCTGGATATGGAAGAGGTCGACAGCCTTACCAACAATGTTTTGAAGACACTGGCCGCTTCGCCATGTGCTCCCCAACTACGGCATCTTTGCATATCCTCTTGCGAGAACCTGGGTGACGCTGGTATGCTTCCTGTACTCAAGGCATGCACTCAACTCTCTTCCCTGGAGATGGACAACACCCGTATTTCAGATCTCGTTCTTGCCGAAGCCGCGGCCGGTCTCCGCAACCGCAACCGCACAGCCCGTGGATTGTCAGCTTTCGAGCGTCCAACAGTCGGCCTTCGCGTTGAAGTCTATGACTGTGCCAATGTGACCTGGACTGGAGTTCGCGAGGTTCTATCGCGCAACGCCGAAATTACCCGTCCTTCGCATCCAAAGTCTGCATCCGCCCCCGAACCGGCGACATACCCTCGTGAAATCATCAAGCTCAAGTGCTTCCACAACTGGCAACCGACCGTCGAAGAGCACACAAAGCGCGTGCTGCGCGGCGACTTTGCTGCTGCTGCCCGCCTAGAACGCAAGTGGGCCGACTACATGATGCTGAATGAAGAAGCAGGTGTTGGTGGCGCCGGTACACGCAGGCGGAGAAGAAGAGCCAGGGAAGCGCAAATGATGCACGCAGACGAGGAGGAAGGTGGTGCTGGCGCCGTGAGTGGTCTGGGCAGAAGGCGGCGGGCACGGAGTGGGCCTGGTAGTTGTGCTGTGATGTAACACTAGCATATAGGGAGACACAACCCACCATGCTCCTCCTTGCAATGCTTTCTATATTGGTTCGTTTTCTAGCGGCACGCATTTTCCTTGGAGTTGGTGGGGGGGTTTTTTTTCTTTCTTGTAGATGTTCTAGATGGGGTTGGGTGCTGGTAGCGCTCCCAAGTTTCTTGGTAAAGTTGATGGAATATAGGCATTGCATATTCAAGGAGAATATCCTCTGCAAGGTTAACTCACGGCTTCTTTTGCCCTTTCCTGTGCAGCTTTGCAAAGGATTCTCATGTGTATTGTTGACCACGTGAACACGCGAGGCGCTTACTAATCGTATGCCTCCCACCTTTGACCCGTTGACAGGACAAGACGATGGATGCCTCTACTGTACGCAACTTTGGCAACACTCATCGCCTCACTTGCGCAAAAACACTAGATTCGAATGATGGCTTCTCCGAACCCTCATCTAGCACCCTATCGCATCAGCACCCTACCACCGGATTTCTATTACCTACCCAATTTCCTCACCCCTGCCGAGGAAGTCTCCATACTTCAAAAGATTCCCACACAGCGCTGGACCCAACTGAGCCATCGCCGTTTACAAGCTCATCCCTCCACTCTGACCAAGAATAATACTCTGCTCGCTGCTCCACTTCCTGCGTGGCTGACGACACCTGTGATGGAGAGAATGAGAGGGTATGGTATCTTTGAGAACACACCGCATCACGTGCCAAATCATGTGTTGATCAATGAGTATAGACCCGGCGAGGGAATCATGCCGCATGAAGACGGGTTGGCGTATGCCCCGGTTGTCGCTACTGTGAGCCTGGGAGGATCGTTGTGTCTAGACATTGTTCATAAACCCACATACTCTGGGAAGGACGAGGATGGTAGCATGGAGGATGCAACAACAGAGAAGGGTATGAGTGATGAAGATACAAAGAAAAAATATCCCATTCCGACAAGAATTCTTCAGGAACCCCGATCCCTACTCATCACCACCGGAGCCGCGTACAAAGAGTACATGCATGGCATCGCATCGATAGAAATCGACGAGGATCTACGCTCGGAGACGATAGCCAACTGGGGGTTGTTGGGTGATGCCAAGGCATTTGAAGAGCAAGGCGGTCGGAACTACAGGCAGACAAGAACAAGTTTGACGTACAGGGATGTGTTGAAAGTTAGTAGTGCGGCGAGTAGAGTCCTCGGTGGTCTTGGACGACGATGACACGATTCCATCCTTCGCCTTGCTCACCAACAAACCGTCTAAGCAACAAACGCCCGACTGACCACGTTCGCGACCACCTTGTCCTTGGCCGCCTCCTCAAACGCCTTCTCCACAGCCGGGAACCACAAGGTCGCCATCTTTGTATCCCCCGCATCGTTCGGATGCACACCATCTCTCAAGTCGCTCGTCCCACTAAAACCTGTATACTGATCTACCACCCAAATCGGGGAATCGGTCATGTTGAGTCCTTGGGCCCACGGGATAATGGCCCGATTCAGGTCCTGCACTTTGTTGTTGTAGTTTCCGATACCGAGGGGAATGATTTGAGCGACCTATTGTTCCCTTAGGCATCAGACACAGCCAGAGACCATTTGTACACAGTACTGCAAACAGAAGAGGGAAAACGGCGTAAATTTGATGTACTTGAAAAGAGAGACACTTACGACAATCTTCATCCTCGGGTTACTACTTCTCATACTCGCCACCAACTTGCCAAAGGCAGCGATGATATCCGCAGTCGCTTTATTCTGTTGCACGATATCATTGGTACCCAAGTGCATCGTCACCACATCTGCCGGGTTCGTCTTCAGCCAGCCATCCAACTGTCCTTTATTCGCGATATCAATGGCCAAGAAGCCCGAATGTCCCTCATTATCACGGTCGTACACGCTGTCTTTGCAGTTATTCTCTGTCTTTCCACTGCCGACGAAGTCCACGTTGGCATAGGGCGTAGACTGCAGTTTCTGCCACAATTTGGCACGCCAGCAGATGATCTCGGTGATGGAGTCGCCAAAGGGCATATACCGGATTGTCGTGTTTGTTGATTGCGCGGCTGTATTCAGCGCGAAGAGGGGCAGGTAGAAGAACGAGGAGAGAACCATGATAGTGGTCTTGATGAGGGTTGTGTGATGTGGAGATGGGCTGGCTGGGTTATTTGGTCTGGCGTGAAGAGTGGAGACATTGTGAACTGCATATATATATATAGAGAGAGAGAGAGAGAGAGAGCTTTCGCAATGCCTGAAAAAATCGAATATCAACATGCCGACTACAGATGTGGGGTACGCGCGATACGGCGAGTGCACTGAAATCTACTTCGGCATGAAAGTACGCAATAACGTTGATGAGGCTACTCTAAATACGAATGCGGAATGGATAGTTCATCTATGAAAAGCAACTTACCTTCTTTACGCACGGCTGAAATGGTCGAATGAGCACACTGATGTAGAAATTCAGAATGTTTTCAGAATGTTACTACCGGAGGAAGTGAGTACAAACGTCTTTATCGTTTCCACCAGAGCTGATAACATTGCGGCCACTCCTAGAATGAGCCATATTGCTTGCACGCGTCTCAATCATTCCGTTTTGCTCCACGTGAAATAAATGTGTAGTTGTCAAAAAATGGTGCCTGTCCACAAACATTACAATGTCGAATCGAAAAGTCTATGAGTGCATTCAAACGACAATGTGATCCAAGCATCAAACCCGCGTATGGTTGACCAAAGTGTGCCGTGTGGTATTGACGTCTTTTTCCTGCCCAGTTTGTTTTTTGACGCAATTTAAATAGTCTGCAAGATGGCGTAAAACGCAAACGTAAGGAGAGGAGATGATTGGACTCGGGTGCAGTGCAATATCAGATTCATTCGTATCGTGGATCTTCTTTATATAGTACTCCAAGCAGCGAATGTATAAGTATAGACACTGGAGACCCAACCTCGTAGTAGAGGGCTTTGGGTCTGACATGACGTACAAAGGCCTCGGTGAAGGTGGCGGAGAGTATTCTATGTAGTAGTAATAATCAACCGCCGAAGTACCGTGTATGCGGACTCCGATGCAATCTATACCACTTCTGAAATCTGGCACAGTTTCCTTCTCATGTAAGAAGAACGAATAACATAAGCATGCGGCTGGAGTCTTCGGCCGCAAGCTTCAGCTATGTCTCACAACCTGTGATGCTGCCGCTCTGGGCTGAGCATAGGCGGTCAAGCCAAACACACTGTTTTCAAGATGGATCAGCCATCAATGCCGGTCCCATGAAGGATAAGATCAAGCCATGATGATGGAAGCTACATATGAGGGACGAGCTGAATGTGACTGCGGCGTAGTACCGGTACTGGAAATCAAAGAGTCGACGGTACACGCGTCGTCTTACCATTGAGTTCAGGCTGATCAAAGTCTTTTCGCTTATTGGTCGTCATAATCTACAATTGTTCAGAGCTGCTATACGGTAAACTAGACATGACGACATACTATACCTGCAAAGTATTAGGAACAGGTTTGAGCATTGCTTTTATAAGTCATCGACTTGGAGCTTACGCGTCCAATTCGACGTATACGCTTTCAAGTAGGATCTCAGTATGCCATCTATGGACTCAGGAAAACATGCAAAAGGGCCACATGTTTGGTGGGTAGGACAAACAGGGTCGGAGGCAAGGTCGCGTGTAGAGTTGGGTAGTTGAAATCCAATGAAGAGGGATTCGTTGTGACTTGCAGACATCTCTGCATCCGTCCTCCACCATGCCACACTGATCACTATACAACTTCATTTCCGCTGCAGGTTCCTTTGCATGCCAACGTCGCGGTTGTGCAAGACCATCATCAAGATTGGCTGGCTGTGAAACGCGTCTTTGTTCTGACGCTCAGCCCCCACCATGCATCGAGGCCAACTAACCATTCTTGCGCGGCAACATGTACGAGGGTAAACCTTGTGGCTTTCTTATAGGCCGTGACAGGACAAGAGTAACAGTCTCGGGCGTGAAAATGACGCGTAAGTAGTTGCGTTGGCGGTAGGTTCATAGGATGATGGGCTGGTTCCGCAGCCACGGCTCTCCGCAACGATGCCGGATTCGGTCAGCCTTTCTGCAGACTGCGATGGGATATAGTATAGTCTCACGTAAGGCTAGGTATAGTATGGAAATTCCTGACTTTTGGTTTCATGTTCACGGAGTCTTCTTATCATTATTGATCCTGCTGCGAAAGTTGTTTTGCTCCGTGAAATTATTGTCCTTGTCCCTACCTATCTCTTTGTCTGGGGTCACCAGATACAAACGGGCTTACGGAACCAACGAGTTTGCAGGACGTAACTTCTTTTTAGTGGTTCGACTGTTTACTTTCAATTAAACCACGTTGAGGATGAAATTGCGAACTTTGATTGCGTGTAGTCTGGTGGAATTTGGTGAGCAATTTCGCTGGTCACTAATGAAACCATCTGACCTCAGCCAGGGTATCAAATCAACGCTCAAGTCGCAGACATAAGTCCTTCAGACAATGTGCGCTTCAAGCTCAACATCCCGGAAAGCACAGCTTCATCAGGCAGTGGGGACATCTTCTTTTCCATCTCAGCACCTAGCAGCTATGAGTGGATTGCGCTTGGTCAGGGGAATGGTATGGGCGGCTCGAACATGTTTCTCGTATATACATCTTCGAGCGGATCAAACGTGACACTTTCACCGCGCACGGCAAGCGGGTACAACCCGCCGAGTGTAAACGGCGATGCTGACGTTACGTTGCTGGAGGGTTCTGGCGTTACGGATGGTGTGATGACGGCCAATGTGAAGTGTAAGCGATTGCCAATTTCCTGATGCGCTCCAACACTGGATTAGCCTAACCGTCAATAGGCGCCAACTGCAATAGCTGGTCTGGTGGTACAATGGATTTCAGTGCAAGTACTGGCAATTGGATCTATGCCTACCAATCGTCCGGTGGCCCAAAAAATACAGACGAACAATCTGCCTCGATTAAGCAGCACAATAACCAAGCTACTTTCCAATGGGATTTTGCGGATGCCAAGGGTGGCAGCAGTGTCAACCCATTCCTTGCAACGACTCCCTCTGGTACTGGGACCGCCGGCACTGCTGCATCGAGTTGCATCCCACGGCCAGCCTCTGCCAGTGATTCCGGCACGGTTTCCGGAGCTAGCACTGCTCTTGCAAGCCCCACGCCGACAAGTGATGACTCTGACAGTGAGGATGACCACGACAACGATCATGAAAATCCATGGAACGGTCGACCCACTAGCTGGTCAACGGCGAGGCCTACTGGGGGTCGACCACCTGCCAAGCGACAGGACCAACTTCCGTACTGCGATGAGATAACTAACAGCGAAGATGGCAGCAATAGCAACAATGACAGCGGTTTCATCACCATCGGGGGGTCGAGCGGCGGGGGCAACCGAAAAACCATGGTCATTGCACATGGTGTTCTTGCGTCTCTCGCCTTTGTCATTCTCTTCCCCGCGGGCGCCATTGCTATCCGTCTAGCTTCCTTCCCCGGGGTCATCTGGCTACATGCTGCATTCCAGGCTCTAGCCTACCTTGTCTATATTGCTGGCGTTGGTCTCGGTGTGTACCTGGCGACAGAGATGGACTTGTTGGACCATTACCATGCCATTATTGGCATACTCGTCCTGATCGTCGTCTTCTTCCAGCCCATGACGGGCTGGATCCATCACATGCTCTTCAAGAAGTACAGCCATCGTACTATATGGTCACAGGCGCACATCTGGGTCGGTCGCCTTGCCGTCACATTGGGCATCATCAATGGCGGTCTCGGGCTGAGGCTGGCCGACTCCATGAGGATGAGCTCACGGGGGGGGATGATAGCGTATGGGGTGATTGCGGGCCTTGTCTGGTTGGTATGGGCGGCAGCGATAGTTGTGGGCGAGAGGAGGAGGAAGAGGATGACAGGGTCGGAAAGGAGGGAGATGAGAAGCGGTGATGTCAGGCCGCCGAATGGCCATTACGCTCCCAAGGGGCAGCAGTAATTAGGGAGAACAATGAATGCATGCACAATCATGGTGGATGAATACAGCGTTAGTTTGGATAGATTTTCTGCCCTTTGAGGTTGGACAAATGATTTGTTGGTGTTGGTGTGTAGGTAGGTAGTGAGTGTCGTGTGGCCCATTATGGGAGGATGGAAGGTGTTCCCATGGAGGGTTGGAAGGTGCTCATGTAGAAGGTTGGAAGGTGCTTCCACATAAAAGGTAATGGATGGAAGGTGCTCTGGTGCAAGGTAGAAGGTGCTCTGGTGCAAGGTAGAAGGTGCTCTGGTGCAAGGTAGAAGGTGCTCTGGTGCAAGGTAGAAGGTGCTCTGGTGCAAGGTAGAAGGTGCTCTGGTGCAAGGTAGAAGGTGCTCTGGTGCAAGGTAGAAGGTGCTCTGGTGCAAGGTAGAAGGTGCTCTGGTGCAAGGTAGAAGGTGCTCTGGTGCAAGGTAGAAGGTGCTCTGGTGCAAGGTAGAAGGTGCTCTGGTGCAAGGTAGAAGGTGCTCTGGTGCAAGGTAGAAGGTGCTCTGGTGCAGGAAAAAGGTAGAAGGTGCAACCTTTCATGCGGCAAGTGCTCAAACAGCACGTGATGACTGGCTGCTCCATTGTCCATGTGTGCACAGGGCAAACTACGTGGGGCAGCGGCGGCCAAATTGTCGACCCGCCGACCAGCCAATTTGCAAGGGGCATCAACAAACAAGACTCCAAGAACAGAACACACGAGCCCCTCCACTCTTAGCCGTCTCCGATTGCTATCGCACACGCTCTCCACTTTGCCACACACCCACGTCGGATCAAAAGACGCTGAGACATACCTTAGCCAACAATGGGAGAGTCAAGGTACGGGGCAGAAACTCAACCGAGAGGCTTTTACCGCTCCCAGAGAAACACCAACCCCAACACAGCAGCGGCTTCCGGCCAGGCTGGCTACCACACGGCCCATACGATGAGAGATGAGAGATGAGATGAGCAAAAGGACACTAACTAACTAACTGGGGATACTCAAAATAGGCAAGAACTCGTCGCGTGGTTGAACAACCTCCTCCAGCTCAACATCACCAAAGTCGAACAGTGCGGGACCGGGTACGTCACAGACCCGTGCAGAACAGGCAGAGGGGGAGAGAGAGAGACGGCAGCAGTACTGACGGATAGAAACAGGGCAGCGCTATGCCAGGTCTTCGACAGCATATTCCGTGAGTCTTCTGTTGCGCCTGCTTCCTCGGGGCCAAACGCACATGGTCGCTAACAGGTTGCGCAGTCGATGTCCCCATGTCGCGAGTCAAGTTCAATGCGAATACCGAGTATGCATACTTGCAGAATTTCAAGATATTGCAGAGTACGTCTTCGACCGCCGTCTCCCTGCCGCGACGTGGATGCTGTCGAAGAAAGCGCTGTGCTGACAAATCCCAGACACATTCGCCAAACACCAGATCGATAAGCCAATCCGAGTCGAGTCGCTCGTCAAGTGCAAGATGCAGGACAACCTCGAGTTTCTCCAGTTTGTCAAGCAATACTGGGATCAGCACTTCCCCGGCCACGACTACGACCCCGTCAGTCGACGCAAAGGAGCGGGCGGCCCTCCCAGCTCAGGCTCAGCGTCCCGCCCAGCCCCTGCCGCCGCCCGAAGAGCACCAGCTGCCAGCAACACGGCCGCGCCTAGGACACGCACACCGCTTGCTGCTGGAGGAGGCGCGGCTAGTGCGGCTCTGCGGGAGGAGAACGCACAGCTCAAGGAGACGGTCACGGGTCTGGAACGCGAGCGCGACTTCTACTTCAGCAAGCTGCGCGATATCGAGCTGCTGATTCAGCAGGCCATGGAGGCTGATCCCGAGCTGGAAAAGGACGAGGGGCTGCTCAAGCAGATTCAGAACATCCTCTACTCGACCGAGGAGGGCTTTGAGATTCCGCCAGAGGCCGAGGGTGCAGAGGAAGAGACGTTTTAGGCGGGCGGCCTCTCCCCCGAGAACAAGGTGAAATTAGACAAGGACTTTGCACACGTCATCTCTCGTGCGAAATCTCTCCTGGAGCAGACCAAGTGGGCAGAGCCAGCAGCGGGGATATTGTAGCGTGACCAGAGGGTAGCATTTGCATTAGGAAGCGCGAGCAGGGATACCACTTTGCGGGACGAGTTGCCTTTCATTCTACAGTCTATGAGGAGCAAGGAAGGGCAAATAATAAGGGTGGGTGTCTGGTGAGTCGGACGCAATAGATAGCCATGGCACCATTTGCGAATCAGATTCATTGCAGTCTGCCGACTTTGTGTCTCCTTGACCAAAAAAAAAAAGATGGAGTTGAGAGTGCGGAGGTGGTGCCACTGCAGTCAGTTCGGACTTGAAGTGAGCAGGCGTCTTGGTAAGGTTATACGTATAGTGACCGCAATAAGAGCGAAGATGCTGGGCGGAAGTGATGCGGGTTTACAAGGATATAGGACCAAGTTGGGGGGGGGGGGGGGAGGGCTTAGAGTCGGGATGCAAGGGTTTTTGTGTGTCTTGGTCCGAGTTTTGTCGCGTTTGGTTTGTGAGCTGGCAAAATGATCTGTGTGGATACTGTAGCTGTGGGCCTTTGTCCATCTACCCAAGTAGATCTCTAGGTCGATGTGCTTGTTCTAACGTGCGGTGTGCTGAGGTGGAATGCCTACCTGACCTAGTAGTACTCTACCGGGTACGGAGTACAGTAGATTGCCCACATAACCATCTCTGACGTACCCGGTAGCAGCTCGGAGTCGGAGAGATGGCGGGCTGGACAGATTCTTCCTTCTCGACAGATGGATCAGTTGAGGTCAGATCATCATAAGCGCCACCCACCTCTATAGCAACCTAGCAGCCGCCAAACTGCCTGGCTTACTATAGGCCCACCAGCACCTAGAGTACTCCGTAGTCTCGTCGACATCGGACAGACATGCTGACTGGCTTGACATCGAAGTCGAGACGCACACGTGCAGCAAGACACCCCGCGTTTCGCTACTGTGTCATGTTGGTCTGTAGAGTACAAGGTGTGCCCCTCCTGATTTCTCCACAGGTACCGGCAGCTCGGTGGTGTCAGCGAAGCCGGACATGACGTGTTGCTATATCTATGTCTCACCCCCCTCAGCGCGCCACCATCATGCTTCAAGACGTCCACCTTGTTTCCCTTCCCCGTAGCCTTTTGCGAGGCCTCAATTGATCTTCTCCCCCCTTTTGCACCATCGTCACGCGGCCTAAGCCCCTCTACCATTGCAGCAACGCCATGTCTGACTGGTCCGACCTTCCCCGCGCATTGCAGGGTAGCTCCAAACGGTTCAGCGAACTCCTTCAGGATGATGCTCAGCTAAACGCTTTCACTACATCAAATGCCATTGACCGGGAAGCCACCTTTGGAATCAAGTCAACCGGCTCTGACAATACTCTCCTCATCACCGTCACCAATGGCAGCGCAAAGGCCAGCACCTCGGGATCGCCCAAGGATGCCCTCTTCACCCTGTCTGCTCTGCCAGAGCAATGGGAACAACACTTTAAAGAGGTTCCAGTCGCGCCCTACCAAAGTTACTGGGGCATGTTCAGCACAAACATCAAGCAAATGGGAACCGAGGTCTTGGGCGACCAGGTCGCTTTTGCCCGCTGGACACATGTCTGGCGACGTGTGCTCGAACTCGCCCACGAGGCTCATTGTGGGCCCATCAAGGAAGATGAGCAAGCCGAACCTCAATACGACTACCTCACCGGCAAATACACTTACCTCGAGGCACCTGTCTGGGGCCGATGCAAGACCTTCTACGAGTACTCTGGTGAAGGCAAGCAGCAGATTGTCTTTCTCCACACCGCCGGTAGCGATTCTCGGCAGTACCATGGGGTCATGAACGATCCAATTATGCGCAAGAAATGCACCATGTACGCCTTCGATTTACCAGGCCACGGACGAAGCTTCCCTTCGAAGAATTACTGTCCGGGTGCGCACACGAATACAGAAGACGCTTATGTGGGCATCATTGCAGCTTTCGTCAAGGCCCTTGGCTTGCGAAGGCCTATCATTTGCGGTGCTAGTATGGCTGGCCAGGTTTGCCTGGCAGTAGCTATTCGTCACAAGGAGGTCGGAGCGGGAGGTACGATTCCCTTGCAAGGGTAAGTAGGACATATGATCTAGGTTGGACATGGCTTACCAGGTCAGATCCGAGTATCTCAACATGGAGAGACAATGGCACGATCGGTCACCCTACGTAAACCAGTCGTTATTCAATCCAGAGTCGATCTACGGCGTAAGTATAAACGGGCGTGACAAAGAAGGGCGTCACTGACCATGAATAGATGATGTCACCGACCGCCCCTCTGGCAAATAAGCAGCTCATCTGGCATCTGTACAGCGCTCAGGCCTATGGAGTATGTCCAACCTAGCGCGACGACAATAAGCACCCGCTGACAGATCATAGATCTTCCATGGCGATCTCGACTTCAACGTTGGTGGCTGGGATGGTCGCTCCCGCGTCGCTTCGATCGATACTCAGAACTGTCCAGTGTACATGCTTACTGGTGAATACGACTGGTCCAACACACCAGAGATGTCACAGAAGACAGCGGACAAGATTCCGGGAGCAATGTACAAGGCAATGCCAGGTCTAGGTCACTTTCCAGCAACGGAATCACCCGCAAAGTTCGTGCCGCATCTGATCGAGGCGATTGAACACATCCAGAAAATTAGATCAGAGAATATGAGTACTATGCGGCTGGGCAACGGTACCGATTAGACGTCCTAGTCTCGAATGTACAGAGTTTGTTTGCTTTTTCAAGATGAGTGATAGGTTTTGGTCTCCGCTCCTTCCTCCCCAAAATTTCTTCGTTTGCAGTACATGTCAAGTTTTCTGCCCATGTACGACCTTTCCGCGCGCGCCAACTCACGTTCGCCTCGACTGCATCACGCAGTCACTACCCTCCACCTATCAGCCGATAACAAAGCTTCTATTCCCATCTACCATTTATTCAGTTTCACACACATTTCGCGCGTTCTGTGCCTACGTTGTTTTCGCCTGCCAAATCCACCGCGCAACTATTCGTCGAAGCGGCGATGATTCGCTCTCAAACAACCTCACAAAGAGGAACAGCGAACGCGCATATGTTCCTCGGCACGCTCAATGAAGCCGAATGCTGCATTTGCGAAGAAGAGTCCAGCAACACGCACGCGCCCGTCATCACACCTGCTTGTCGTCACGTTTTCGGCTCACGCTTTCTGCGCTCTTGGGTACTTTCCGATAACCGCGCCCACAATCGCTGTCCCCTCTGTCGCGCGATGCTCTTTGACGATGCGTTGCCAGGTGTTGGTGAAGACGCAAGGCCAGACAGCTCTGCTAATAGGGTTAGTGAGCCCGCATGGGCAGGAGAACGTCTATTCAAGGGAGATGGAGAGCGTCCTCTGGCTCCGCACCATCCTCCTCAAAGACCTCACGGCATGGCTCGACATGGAGATCTGATCTCACCTGTAGCAGCTCAACGGAGGCACGAAGCACAGAATCAATCTGAAGAGTCGATACGTGGAGTCGCCCATGACTGTCAACCAGCAAGAGCACAGGGCCCTCTGCCGATTGCCCTTCGCGACTACCTATCTTAGGCTTGTTAGACCCAGCTCCCGTTTCAGTGCTGGACCGCCAACCTCCTCAGCATGTCCAGTGGATGAACCAAAGGAGTCATTGCATGACTCCTCTCCACGCTCATGATAGGCACTTCGATTCAGGCCAGGAGCTTGATCAAGATCCGTATTCTATGGTACAGCAAAATGCCAGAGTCGACGCCGAGTTAGGCCTAAGTGCAGATGAAGACGTTGAAGCAGGACAGCCAGAGCAAAGTCTTGATGCGGACTGGGAAGTTGTTCTGTACAACTCATTGACTGGTGAACAGAGGCAGCACATTCGGCGTCTTGGCGATGTAAGAAATACACCTGGTAACCTTCCACTTGCTATGTCGTCTATGATTCGAGAAACTGGTGGAGAGGGAAGGCCAGCTCGCGATTCCGAATCCGACAACGACCATCTTCCTGAAAGGTGGACTCGCTTCAGAGAAAAGCAGGGGCAAGCCTACCGCGCTGAGGAACGAGCCATTGGCCGGTCTGTCACCCGCCTCATGAGAGGGTTCAAGACACGACGGCAGCGATGCGAAGAGGTTATGGGGCGATTGTAGCCACGGAGGTTGGAAGGCAACGCACTTGGAGTCACCGAGCCTGCGCCTTCAAGGCCAACCATGATACTTTTCCCAATTCCTTTTTGCGACGGACTCCCATTAGATAGGGGGATCATTACAAGCTTGGTCGATCCTTTGCGCATCATCCGAGGACGCAAATTCACCATTTGGGAGCGAAATGTCGACCTGGAAATGATGGACATATGGGTGTTGTGGTCATGAAAGCTTCTGTCAAAGTGTGTCACGGTACCCTATGAATGGATCAAATACTCTATAAGATGTCAATGCAACGAGTGTCCCAGAACTTATCAAATGGTGAAGTGTGAGATTATGAAATGCAAGAAAGGGCAGTGGTATATTCTTAGACTGTACTGTGGTAGGTACTGTAGTTAGCTACTGTAGTCCGCGGGATCGTGACGCACGTGGCGCTAGCGTGCGGCCCGGCGACATGGGACTTGCATGCAACGACGTCAGGCTCGTCCCTTTGCCGTGCGAGTTTCTTGCCCTTGCAACAACCTCCGACTGAATCTCCATTGCCCATCTCATTGTCTTAGATACCAAACCAGCTAATGTCTCCAGCCAAACGGCTTGCACAGCAACAACAACCGCAGCAAGCGCTTAAAAAAAACACCACACGACTACACGGTCGTCTTGATAGTAATAGATAGGTCGTCACGAAACGAGCATCTCCGCACGCGACCTACCTCAACATCCTGCGCGCCAGTTGCGGGTGCCTAACACCTTTGCTCACACTATCACACACACACACCACCGACACACTTTCATATACATATACCATTCGCAAAATGCCGCCCCTGAAACTTTCCATACCTACTGCGCATAATCAAACTCCCCCAGACGGCGGGAAACCCTACACAACCTACATAATCCGCATCGAGCATCCCTTCCCACGCGCCGCAACCACAGTCTCGAAACGCTACTCGCAATTCTCCTCCCTCGACGCCTCGTTACGCTCCAAGACCGGCTCTGCACCTCCTGCGCCCCTGCCGCCAAAGTCCTGGCTCGGTGGATTTCTGGGCTTGGGCAACACTGCAGGCTCGCCTGAGGCGATTGAGAAAAGACGGGCGGGCCTGGAGGAGTATCTCAGAGCCATAGAAGGGAGTGAGGATGCGCGGTGGCGTGCTTGTAAGGAATATCGTGCTTTCCTCGAGCTGGATGACAGAGATGGGAAGAACAAGCTGGCCGGCATAGCAGGCGCGCAATTTGGTAAAGACAGAGTGAGGGACAGTTCAGACTGGCTGGACAAACACTCGGAACTCAAATCCAATCTTCAGGACGCAAGGCGATGGCTTACAGCGCGCGAACAAGCCACGGCCGCGACAGCCCAGCATGAAGCCGCTGTCAACGCGAAGAAGAGTCTGGTCCGCGCCGGAACCCTTATTTCAGCTCTCGAGGAAGCCTTGGGCCGACTGAGCGGAAAGAACGGGGATGAGTGGTCGGGCGAGAAGTTGGGCGATGGCGAGATACGACGGCGCAGGGACATGATTGGTGGTTTGCGCAAAGAAAAAGACGGCCTAGAATCGGTCCTAAACAGCATGGCCGTCAAAGCTGCCCTCTCTGGCTCTTCTTCCAGCGCATCAAATACCGCCTCCGCAGCCGTCACATCGCAACAAAAGGCAGGCCTCTTTGCACACGCCCCAAGGAACACCAAGCCCTCTGGCCGTCGGGTGCTAGGCGCCCCCGTACAGGAAACCGACAAGACCCGTGAATTGGATAATGAAGGTGTACTGCAGCTCCAGCAGCAGATCATCGCGGAGCAGGATGAGGATTTAGTGGATCTGACGACGGTGGTGAGGCGGATGCGCGAAATGGGCGTCCAGATTAATACGGAGATTGTGGAGCAAAATGCCTTACTAGGTTTGTTCGAGGAGGATGTGGAGAGGGTGGATGGCAAGGTCAAGATTGCAAAGAAGAGAGTGGATAAGATTAGATGATTTGATGAGGGAGGTGAGAGGTGGGAATATCAGTTTCAAGCATGGCCGAGGGAAAGTTGGAATACATGAATGATGCAATAGTTTGGATCAGAGTAATGCTGGTTGATAATAGGCAAGATGTAGAAGCACAGGTCTATCTTCTTTGGGCCGAAATGTAATATGATACCCCTACCCATGATTCTGCGAACTCTCCTCCCCCTCTATGGCTCAGAAGATATCACGGCGCGTAATAGAACCGGCCGGTCTCAATCATTCAGCATTCCTTCACGAGTGAAGTGGAAAGGACTCCCGATGTACTGCCAGAAACGTAAGGCTCCACAGCTGCCGCACATTACTCTCTGTCGCCGTCAGTGCACCCAACGGCTCAACCTGGTATTCGTCATTATACTCCCAGCTCCACACCTCCAGACTAAGCTGTGCACGATTCATGTCAATAATGTCCCAGAGGTAGTTGTACGCTGCGAGTATCTTGTTGTATAGGTCCGTGTCGATGCAGAAGTCTACATAGTACGTACATGTTAGCCCCAATTCCTCCATCCCAACATGATATATGCTTTTTTATTTTTCTAAAGAAAACTGATACGAGTCGTTGTGGGGATGGAACTAACGTACCAGGCTGATCGTTGTTATGCATACACCGCCCAATCTGCCTCCCCAATCCTGCTGCCATCATGGCTAATTGCCAACTCCACACCACTGTCCCATGATATTCACTTTTGTCAAACCTCCGTTCAAAATCAGAGTTTCCTACATACGCGGGGTTTGCGACAAAAAGGCCAATTTGGCTGCTCAGCCCCACTGGGAAAGGGTTTAGGATGTGATCTGCTGTTTGGGAGAGATATGTACTGAGTTGGGTCTGATCTGTAGTGTTGAGGAAGAAGTGGCGGAAACAGTCATCCGTGTTCATTACAGGGACTACGGGGGAGGATGGGAGGATGGCACTGTCACGGGCGAGGCCGTAGTAGGTTATGTCGGATGTGATATTTACCGTGTGAGCAGGCACTGAGATGCTGGCTGCGTAGGCTGAGACGAGTGAGGTGGCCGTATCGCGGGGAACAGTGACTTGGAAGAAGGCGAGGGAATTGTCTTCCCAAATTTGCGCATAACTGTTGAGTTGTGTGAGAGGAGAGGATTACGAAAAGGCTGGGATGGAAATTGAGGACAGTGAGGGCTATTGACTTACCGATCAGCAACCTCGCCCCAATTCGAGTGCTCCGGAAAGTATCCTGCTCGACTTAATGCAGCAATTGCACGTAGACCGGCTGGCACGAGAGCAGTATTCACATTATACGGTATCCTGCCGCCACCAAGACCATCGTTCGAGTCCCGCCATTCACCAACCGGCTCGTCTGCTTTGAGACGGATCAAATTCTCTTGCACCTGATTCTCTGCAAAAGGCGCTGAGATCCGCATAATTTTCTCTGCAGTCAGCTGAGCAAGGCTGGCGTACGTTAATCCGTTATTCTGGGCCAGGAAGGTAGCAGCAGTGTCAAAGAACCCAGAAGCGCGGTTTCTGCCGGGCTCGGTGTCTAGAAAGTAGCTTTGCATGGCAATTGGGAGGAAAAAGTCGGTGTCGATCATCTTGTAATCGCATCTTGGGGCAGAGGAAACAACGTTCTCCTTCGCGTTGAGGTAGGTGGCGTAGTCGCCCAAGACTTCCTCGTGGCACACGGTCCCTGTCTCGTGTGAGTCTCTCTAAAAACTGAGTTGCATCGAATGTAGTATGACATACCGTCAGTACGGTTCACTCGCTCCAACACCGCACCGATAACGGCCTCAATAGCTGCTTCACTCAAAATGGACTGCATAAGGAGCATACTGATCATACTATCACGTCCAAAATACGTCAGGAAGCGCCATGTTCCTGCGAGGAGCTTGTCCGAGTATGAGAGGAACGACAAGGAAGTAGTCTGGTCTACGTTTTCGCCAATCAAATTTGCAGAAGCGGCATTCAGCACTTGTTGCGGGCTCAGTTGTTCGAGCTGCGGATAGTTGAAGGAAGCATCAAAACGATAGGTCCCAGCTCCGAATGTCAGTGTCCAAGCTGCTTCACGATTCAGAACAACGGTGTCTGCGCCATTCATAGGCGTGAATGTAAGCCATGTAGTCGTTACGTTGTCAAACCACGTTCGATTAACAGTTGCACCTCCATCGGCATTCAAGGAAAACCCAAAGCTCTTTTGGAAGTCTTGGCTCACGCCGGCTCCCTCAGTGAAATCGCGGATGGCACGGATGCTGCCCAGGATAGGTACAATTAGTCTGGCGGTAATATTGAAGTTGATGGAACCTGAGATACCGACGCGATCTGATTCCGTGATAGGATTCAAGATCTTGCCACTGGTCGTTGAGTTTTCAAGTCGTATAGCGAGAGAGCCTTTGATGCCACTCTCCGGAACGAAGAGTGCAAGGGCACCGCTGTTACCTGCAGGCCAGGCGATGAGCAGACGAGGTTGGATTCTCTCAAGATTACTGCCTGGACGAGGGGTGGTTACGACAACATGGGAGCTGGAGTGGCAATCTGAGTAGAAGTAATTGTCGTATGGTGGATCCGCGAGATACAACCTCACCGCCTCGTCAGGACATGAGGCTCTAGAGAACGAAGTGGCTGATGACGGCGAGCTTTGGGGGTGAGCCGAAGCATGAAATGTGCTGAGCAGACCGCCAAATGCTGCTGTTGCGAGTATCCTCATGGTGATTTCTTGGTTAGTGGTTCAAACTCGATGATTGAGTACATGCTGCCTACGTCCAGAAACACTTCCTATATAGTCTACTGACACCAAGAGGCAGCCGTAGAAAGGAAGTACACGTGCACTCTTTAGCGCATACTTTGCTCTGTTTGCCCAGTGTGTTCAAGTAAGGCCCCAGAGTTACATATCCTTTTCTATTGCCCACACCCTAATCCATTCTTGTGACCACTCTCAGTCAATGCGCGGAGACGTCATAGCGTCAGTTATTAACGTCTTGTCTCATCGTGCATTGGCTTGTTAACATCACGAGATGTACTATATCAACCTGGTAAAGAGGCGGGGAGCTGGGTTGCAAGTCTTGGGTAGATAGATGAAAGATGATTGGCCGAAACCACGGCGAGGCTCGAGGATCACCTAAACTTAACTAGAAATAGGTAAGTGTGCTTCCTAGTCTAGTGCATGTCTCGTGCCGTCATCGTTATTAACACGACATCATCCCTTGCGTTGGCAGAGACGGAGGCTACAGCAGGCTACAGCAATGGCTGTCTGTAATGAGATTCAGAGTTGAATTTTCAAAATCCCCTCCATACCGGTACCGCGGAATGCATGCACGAGAACGCTTTTCATGCTCGCGCGAAGTTTGCTCTGACCAACTTACCGGTACCTAGATCAGTGAGTTGGCTTAGACTTACCATACCTAGGGTTACCTGGGCGTCTCGAAGTCTTCTCGGAGTAGCAGACAATTTACATACTGCTGCTGCATTATTTGCGCTGCCCCAACGCTAACAACATGTTGGTGAAAAGGAACAAGAACAAGCATTATCCGTATTACAGTTTTCATCAAAATGTTCATGGTTGAGGAAGACATCATGTAATTACAAAAACTTATCCCGCCCATCATAGCAACGAACATATTATAGCCATACACGATATTTTTCGAATTTAGAGTCGGGATCTCCATTATTAGAGCTTTCGGATATAGAATTTCTTTCAGTCATGCAAACGCCAAGGTGGAAGCACTTCCTAATGAAAGAGTTGATCCCAGTGAGTGAGACTGATAACTTGAAAAGATGAAATCGCAGTATAAAACGGCCGACTAAAGCATCCACCACACATCGACACCTATGGTAATCCATCTCATCTCCGAAACATCAATTTTGACCGCTCATAACTGATCAGATTCCGATCTACATAACTGCATCAGCCCTAGTCCATGTATGTGACCAGTGCCATACATGTCGGAACCCAGAGAGCGGGGCAATCCCGACTCGGGAACCAAGGCATTATAGATTCCGACATAATAATTACCGGATTCTGCATTAGAGGCAACACCACCGCGAAGAAAACGAAATAACAGAGTCTTCACGTAGAAGAGCGGAGTGGGTGCGATAAGGCCAATTTCACTGTGGCAATGATGAGCATGTGCAACAATATCTTGACGAGTAAGCCCTATGAATACCTACGACGAACAGCAACGTTAAGGCGCAGAGAAAATTACGAATGATAGTGCCACCATTGTGTCGAGATACAGCTACAAAACCGCCATTAGAAGTTACGCAGGAGACATCGTATATTTGTATTGGAACTTCTAATTCCCAATTACAGTAATGATGAACTGCTGCTCATCGATATCCACCATTCCTTGCGTACAGAAAGACCGCCAGTCAATCTGTTTCGCCGCTTTCTCGAAGTTTGAACCTCGCAGCCATCTTCTCCCGAAACATCGCATTTACATAAGCTCTCTTTCGACTCACCTGACCCTGCGGTACCAGATAGGAACAGTCCTGCAAACTCCCCACATCGTTACCAATAACACTGAATTTATTCCACGCGGGGACGAAGACAGCAGCCCAGGATGAGATACTATCAGCGAATGTGGACCAAGCCTCTGACGTCTATCATTGCAAGAGTTAGCACAGCTTCAGTCCCATGCAAGTCGAATATCATGGATTCCCTAGCGATCCCTCTTCCACCTTGCCAAGATTACACGCCCTCCGCTAATTCCCAAACAAAGTAGTCGAGAAGCTCTCGCGAACTCACCTCACTGTAATTACTCAGCCTCCTGTCACTACTCAGCGAATAGGGCGCCTGACCACTCCTCGTCTCCTTATAGAAAACACTGTCATAAACCCATGGCGTACTATCCAGCGGTTGCCCCGCCTGACTCGGATCATCAAAACGCTGCTGTGCCACAGAGTGTGTCCCCAGCAAAGCGACCAGCTCCCCAGCACTTATCCCTTTTGCCCTAAACGCCCCCAGTATATCTTCAACCGCATCCCGGCTCCCGGGTATCTGGCCCTCGGCCGCGGCAGAATCGCTGGAGCGACGACCTACGAGGGCGCGGACGCGCGGTCCAAGCGGGCATGAGGATATGGCGATTGCGGCGGCAAACTGGACGGTGTCTGCGGCCGAGACGGAGAATTCATTCGTGAGGCTTAAGAGGTGGGTGCAGAGTTGGGGGAGGCCGGCGTTTTCGGAGCGTGTGCATTCGGAAGTGAGGATGAGGGAGCCGTCACAGCCATTGTTAATGCAGTCGTGAACTTTTGTTTGGGTAGGCGGTTGGTCAGTGGGGACGATATTGGAGGGTGTGGGTTTTGGGGGCCTTTGAGATGATGTCTACTATGTTTTTACGTACATGGGGCGCGTATGGCGGCATGGGATAGTGGGTTGCAGCCCGCAAAGTCAGATTTGAGGCGTTCGGCAATGTCTTTCCATACTGCTGGACAGTTGCTAGACTGACGGGGCCAGATGTGGAGTGCAGAAGCACATAGCGGAAGAATAAGGACTGTGAGCACATGACTGTGCATCATGAAGGTTGAGCAACTGTTTCCAAAGAAGATGCGTAGTTTTTAATGAACGAAAAGACCATGTACGGTATGTGATGACTACCACTAAACAAAGATCTCTGATGTCTTTTCATCGTAGGCAACCTATCCATCATATACCATCCTTTCTGTCCTTGCTCTCTCCACCCAATGGCCCAACAAATTTCCGCGTCTACATCTTATCCCACTCCACAGCATATGCATTGCAGGCAATCACCAGATCAAGCCATCCCCCTCCCAACACCAACCCCGTTCGAGCCCCATCCTGCGAGCCTTAATCTCGCCGTGTATCTGTAACACTTCAAACAAGCATAGATCAACCATGTTCCGCCATGTGATTCTCCACTCCCCACTGCTCCTAATGTATATTGATGGCCTCATGCACAGCTCGTGCACGACGAGGAATGTGTGCTAGAAGCGGAGCAGTGTTGCTTGACGTGATATGAAAGTCATGGGAAGCCTTTCCGTATGCATTGGAATAACATGGCACGACAGTGGTTCAAGATAGCGGAGTAAACACAGCATTTCGGACGAAGACGTGGAGACCCGGATTCGACGACTTCGGCGAGCACGAAGATAATTGAAAGATGTCAGGCTGTTTTTGTGAGAGGGCTGCTGTTAGCGAGTTTGTGGATAGTATAGGAAATTTCCATGTTGTGCTTTGGCAGATGAATGTGCGTGTGCTTGTTGTGGTGTGCTGGGTTCAGGGGTGATGTGGTAGGTTGTCAAGTTAGCTGTCCTACCGGTGTTAGGTAAACTTATTTGCTGTAGATTGTCTTGTAACCACTATAACATAACAAGTAAAAATAAACCCGTCGCCCGAAAATCAGCACACGTCCATTTGGGAGACGAAGAAGCGATCCTATGCAACAGACGAAGATTTCGTTCAAGAAGAACCGTTGATTAAATAGTCTTGATACTGAAGAGCATATACCTAATCCAAATTCTACATCTTTAGACGAACATAGAGTTTTTTCAGATTTCACAACGGCGAAAAACTACAAATAGATCCAAGCAAGGTCAGTTGAGGATGAATGGCCAAGTTAGAACGTGTTCACGTTCTCACGTCTGACACTAAGCCCAATCAAAGAAATAGTGTGATATACCCAATCCATCATTATACAACGGAAGTGCACGTACTTTGTGACATACTGCGGTAATGCAGCTTGAAGTGAACCTGTGTAGTGCTTAGAACCCCGCTTGTGTAGGTACCTATCACGTGCAGATTCTACCAAGATTTTCACAAATTTATCGCCTTTTCAGTTTTTTATCTGACAGAGCAAAAAGAGGTGATAATTACCAAGGGCTAATTCTTGGAGATTTGTAAATCCGAGCTGCCTGTCTAGTCTTGAACAGTTTCTCGGTTGGCTGTATGGGCTGTATGACTTCATGCAACGTTATTAATACACTAACCGTATGAACTGGCGAAAAAGGATGTGGATTACAGTACATAGCGGCTTAGCTTAAAGCATAAATCAATACAGTGGGTGCAGTATGCTGGGTAGGGGTGCACTAGAACTGACACCACATTCAGCGTCTATAACCTTGGACATACAAATGTGATATCCGCTCTATATGCAACAGAGTATTACAATGATCAGCTAACGATTATGATTGGTGTAATCGGGGTATCATGAATGCTGATGCTAATGTGCATTGTACAAAAGAAAAATTAAAAAATGCCACGCTATGCACATCATGCAAGTGTGACAAGAAACGTCTATGCCTAGAATCTGACCTCAGTAGATCGCACTCTCACTTCTCCTCCCATCTTGCTTCCAGTCGTTGTCCAATCAGTAGTTTCACTCTCAACCCTCGTGTCCTGGGAACTTGCATCCCCGGATTGGGGCTCAGTGTCGCTGGTCTTTGTTCTACTGATGCGGGCCGTCTCGTCCTCGACTCGAAGATGGTTACCAAGCTCGGGGTCAGATTGGTTGACTGCATCGTCGACAAGATGCGCGTTGCCACGTGCCTGTGTGTCGTTTTCCCTTGAGCGATTGGAATCCGCAACTTGATGATGAGGTGATCTAGGTAAAGGCTCCAGCGGATCTCTATCACCATGTTCTTCCAATTCCACCATAGTGATGGGCGCAGTTGTACTCCGGAGCATGGCAGCACTTCTGCCATGATGGTCCATACTCTTGCGAATGCTGCTTTGCTGAAAAGCTTCTTGATCCTTGTTGGCCATGCTGTCTGTAGGCCTGACTTGCTTATCAGCTTCGGCGATGGGTGTCGTTCGTGCTCTGGACTGCGAACTACGTCCCTCCTTGGGCACATCGGTACTCTTTCTGCCAACACGTGTGCCTTCTTTCTTTTCGCCGCGGCCCATCAAAGTAGCCGCGAGACCACTCTTGTGATTTTTTCGTTCCTTGGCCATGGTGTCTTGGAGAGCTTGCCAGCGTGCACTGACGTTTTGCTCCACTTGGTCTCGCTTCATGGTGTTCTTCCCTTCGCCCTCTTTGACTTCGTCGATGCGTGCGACCCGAGACTTCCTCTCCAGACTAGTCAACTCCAACTGTCCTTGTGTGATGCGAGCACGTCGCAAGTAGGCAGTAGGCTGGTAGCGCTTCATGTACTGAGCGTCAAGCCCCTTCATACCATACGCGAAAGGTCCCAGTAAGGCTGCAATGTCCTTGAGTACGAAGCCTCCGATACCATAGCCCACGCCCTTCATGGCGCCAACAATGCCATGGTTTTTGGCACCACGAATAGGCTGGGTGACAATACCAGTCACGCCGTCCATGACACCGTATAGTAGCTCATCGCGTCCTGCGCGGAGTCCAGAATGCATGCCAGTGACCCTCGGCGGGCGACGCACAGTTTCATCACCATACAATCTTGGCGCGTTATGGCAGCCCTTTGTGATTGCGAGGGTCAAATTCATAGGGAATCGAGCCAATGCACCACCGGTCTTCCTAAACCCAGAGGCAGCCTCATTCGTAAGTTCATCGGCTAGATCTTCGTCGGGTTCAGAGATCCTGGAAAGTGTGGACGGCTCCCGGCTCGCTTGTGGCCTCTTCCCATCATTTGACTCATCCGTGTCTTTATCTCTGACCTTTTCGGTTGAGCCATTGGTTGCTTCCTTTCCAAGGCGGTCTTTCGGAAGATTGGCGTTTGCTCTTGCAAGGGTTGCTTTTTTGTGTTCATGCCTCATCTGGATTTTGCGTTTCTTATCTCGAATCTTCTCGCGCTTTCGAATACTCTTGCCCATCTCGACAGGTACTCCACCAACACCAGTGGCCGCATCGGTGACGGACGTCATCAGCGTGCCCCATATACCTGTGATGGGCTCACCGGGACCGCCAAAATCGTTCCATTCATAGTGTCGGATCAGGCGTAACTCGTTCCACTTCAATTTCTTTTTCTCCACTAGAATCTCTGCTGCCAATGCAGAGAGCTTCACATTGGTGTTTTTGATCTTCCACGCTGCGGCACGGTCTTCCAAGAAGTCGCAGCGCATACTGTTTTCGCCAACAAGCGGCAAAGATCTGTGGAAAGAACGCACGGCGTTCAAGGCGCCATCACCTTCCTTCTCGATGCTCTCGGCTATCTTCTTGACATTCTCCTTGGCTTCATCCGTTAGACATTGTTTGATGCCCTCAGCAAGTCGTTTTGAGTTTAGCTTCTTGTAAGGAATGCATTCATGCGCACCCGCCTTGGCTTTGCTGACCATGGCTCCCCAGAATGGCTGATCGCCAAAAAAGGGTACAATCATTGTCGGTATGGCGCATTTGAGACCAATGGCGGTTGTGCCGGCGCCGCCGTGGTGCACGACGGCAGCACAACGTGGGAACAGCCAGTCGTGAGGACAGTTGTCAATCATGAAGACGTTCTCAGGGCAATCAGCGTTTGAGCCAAAGCCTCCCCAGCCCTTCGATACGAGTGCACGGCAACCAGCCATCTTGACGGCGTCAAATATGAGTTTTGTGAACTCATCTGGATCGTCGACAACAATGGAACCAAAACCGATATAGACTGGGGGCTCTCCATCATCCAAGAACTCCTTCAAGTCGTCTGGAGGCGTGAACGAGGATGCGAGATCAAGAAATACGAATCCAGAGATGTCGATTTCTGGACCCCAATCCTTTGGTTTAGGGATGAGACCTGGTGACCACATGTATGTGTATGGTACTTTCATACGGTAGAGTTGGCCTGGAGCCCACAGCGTACTGACTTCTTCGAGGTGCAAGATCTGTGTTCGAAATCGGTTGATGAGATCGCCCAGACCTTGCCACATCATCATCTCGACGAGGGGATAAGACATGAAATTACCGTAGCTAGCCTCAACATTACTAGTCTTGATGTTCGCTAGAGGGTGAGGAAAGAAGGCTGTAGGAGTATATGGGAAGCTGATGATTCAAGTCAGATAGTTTCCTATGACTAGGAGACTGGCATATAACTCACGTGAACATCATGTGTAGAGGGATCCCAAGTTTTTCCGCAATGTGCTGGGGTGCGAAACTTGGAGGGTTGGCAATAATGGCATCGGCCAAAAACGGATCCTTATTGCCCACTGCGATGTATCAGCGGAGAATAGGCACAATAAGGCAAGCATGCACTTACTCATCTTCGCATTGTGCTGGTCAGTCTCGTCGTCTGAAGCATTGATGCAAGCGCGCCACATGCCCTGAAACATTTCGTACATCTGCGCCCTGCGACGGCCGATTTCACCGCCTTTGATTGTGTCAATATTCGGAATCAGACCAGGATTTTTGACCTGACCCCGTGGGATTAGTGAACGTCGGGCCATTATCGCGCCTGTAAAGACTCACCATAAACGCCATGAGCTCGGCAGGGTTGCCGCCGACAGAGAAGAACTCCAGACCCGAATCCTTCTCCACAAACTCCTTGAAGGCTGGATGTGTGGCCAAACGGACTCTGTGGCCGTAGTCTTCCTTTAATATCTTGGCGATGCGAATAAAAGGCTGGATGTCGCCTCGAGAGCCAATGATGATGATGACAATGTTGAGCTTGACACGTCTCGAGGGATTGTTCTCCATTTCATCCTCCTCGGGTGACATCTTTGCACCTTGGATGCCCCGGGCATCATAGCTCTCCACACCTCGTTGCTCGTCGTCGTCGTTCTTCGAGTGCTTGTGCAAGACGGCACCGAGAGCTTTGGCGACATAGCCACTATTCATGTCATTTTCCAGTATATTGAGCTTCAGTCGTCCATCCGCTTTCGAGACCTTGGCTGAAGTGCGGAAGTGGTCGTTTGTGATCTTGAGGCGCGAAAAGGGGCCGCCATGACTCTCGCGACGTTGTCGATTCTCTTGGCCGGTCAAGTCGCGTTGATGGCTGAGCGTCTTCTTTGGGTAGTTCTTCTCCCCCTCCTCCTCATCAGAGTCGGAGGAGGAAGAGTCGCTCTCAGAGGAGTAAGGGTCGAAAGTGACTGTGGTTCCCTTATGGGTTGGAGACGGTCTCTTGGGCGGCCCACCATGGTGCATCTTGCCCAACAGCGAATGTCGTACCGAAGGCTTTGGTCGCTCGGTCGCATATCTCTGTTGCATTGGTCGAGATGTCTTGGGTGGTTTGCTGTGTGTTTCGTCGATGGGCTGTGGCTTCGTGGTGAGACTGTCTTCGGAAGTGCCTGCATGATGGGTGGCTATGCCCATGGGCGTAGCAACACGATTACTAGGGGCAGCCGACCCCGCTGTTTGACTAGAGTATGGACCATGGTCGGGGATGGGGATGTTTGGAAAAGTGGGTTCGTGTAGAACCATGCCAGTTGGCGTGACGCGATGCTGAACCTTGTCGCGGTCCGTCATGGTAGGTATGGACCTATCTGCCTAGAGTATAGCGATAGAGGGAGACGGCAGAAGAGAGGGAGAGAATGTGGGCCACAGGCGACCGGTAGAGTAGGTAGAGTAGGTACTAGAGTACTGTGACTGCGGTCGAACAGACTACTGTGGGAGTCGTGACGACTAGATGATGAAGAAGAAACAAATCAATCGAGTGCTATGCATGCATTGTAGGGGACGGAGAAGGAGCCGGCGAAACCAAGTGCCCGTGACTAGTAGCTAGGAGTAGAGTACCAATGTACTATACCACTAGAGGAGCGGGAGGCGGACGCGGAGGCGGACGCAGGCGAGGAGCAACAAGTGGTTTGTTTGACGCACACACATGGAAGGCGGGCGGGAACCTTTTTCTTCTCTTTCTTCAATCCGCAGTCTTGTAGCGGCGAAGCTTGGAATTGATGATAACAGCTCAAGATCTGGCGTCACACACACAATCACAGCCTGCAAGCGGGAAAAGGTGGCAAGAAAGGCCGGACTGGTTTTCATGCTTGCGGGTTGCCTATGAGGTCATGCCTCTCTCGTCTATCTTGCCGCATTTGGACGGCAGGGATGCAAATGTGGATATTCCCGCAACATGGCATTTTGAATTTGGCCATTGTCAGCCTCACAAGCACGCACAAGCACAAGCACAAGCACAAGCACAAGCACAAGCACAAGCACAAGCACAAGCACAAGCACAAGCACAAGCACAAGCACAAGCACAAGCACAAGCACAAGCACAAGCACAAGCACAAGCACACACGCATCGAATTACAACATCATGTCATCCTTCGAATCATGCGCATTTCATCCAGACATGGCTGCATTGTAGAGTAGAGTACACAACACTGGCGACCTGAGACTTGCCAGCGCACAACCGACAGCCTGCTGGCGGCCCTTGACAAAGGACGAATCAGGCTTCTGTCTTCCTGACAGAGCCATGAGTGCATGTCCATGTGCGCCGACTCGATCACCATGATGTTGAATTAGGCTCTCCCGTTCAGGGCTACTACCAAAGGCCAGGCTTGCCAGACACCCTGCTCATCACCATCTAGGTACCATCTATATACTATAGTACAGGGTACATACTGTGTAGGTAGAGTAGTCCAATATCGCAGAATCCTCAGCGGCCGATACCGATGGCGTACAGAGCAGCCTGGGCCATGTCCTGCGCCCAGCCCACCCATCCTCTCCCAGCCTGGACCGTGTTCAACAACTTCACAAAGTTGCGGTTCCAAGCATCCTGGTCCTCCCAGTCATCTGCATACGGCTCGAACACGGCTTCTTCCGAGCTGCCCGCTGTACCCGGAGCGACCAATTCCCATTCGCCGCTCTCTTTCTGGAGGACATGCATCCTGGGCCCAATGCAAAGCGCTCGTCCCAAGACGCTCGAGTCGGCCACAAATCGCGTCGCTGCGTCCACCACGTCTACTACCTTACCCATGCCGCCCCCTGCAAGCATCATACGTGCACCGGCTGGTACAATGGGAGTGTCGATGAAGTAGGGACGAGGGCGCAGTTCATATGACCATGGAATTAGCGCTGCGTGAACTCGTATTCGGCATGGGGTTAGGCCGTGCCAAGCTCTACTAGCTAGCTAAGCGAGGTTAACCAAACATCATGCTATAAGATTTTGCAACGCGTTCTAAACCTGTTCTAAACACATTCTATACTAGTAACACTACAAGCTACCACCGCTATGCCTGTTACTAACGCATCCCTCTTATCCTACGTAAGTAGATTAAAACGTGTTTAGAACGTGTTCTTAATAGGTTATAGAAGCACTATTAATAGTACCTCGCCCTTAGCTACGTCCTAGATAATATTAGGGTATAGCCTGTGGTTAGCCCTAATAGGGCAGTTAAGATAGAGAGTAGAGAGCGCTACTACTATACTAAGATTAATAATAAGGGCACCTTATATAGAGTAAGAATAGGTTCTAAACGTGTTCTAAATAGGTTCTAATATTCTTAGGCTATTCTAGGTACTAGGGGCACTCTATATACCTATGCTAAAAAAGTGTTGCAGGAGGGATATTAACCAGATCACGGAGCATCTTAATCCGATTAATCCCGATTAATACCCCTGTATAACCCACTATCTAATCAACTGCTAGCTTACTGCTAAGCGCCTAACAAAAAAGCAGGAGCTCTAGTAAGGAAGGTTTACTAATTATTTACCTTCTAGTAAGGGTAGCTGAAGCTCTATATATATAAGTCCAATTGTAGTAGATACAATCTAATAATCTATCTCCTAAATTATTCCTAACCTTAGTAATCTAATTTTCTATAGTTATAAGCCTAGGTCGCGCTTTACCTTATTAAAGATCGTCCTATCTATTTAAGCGTATTGTTCGACTTGGACACTAAGCTAGCAAAGCTTTACTCTTTCTTTATACTATTTCTTAAGCAGAAGCTTACTTATTACTCTTCTACTATAAGCGACCAAATCCTAAAGGGGGATATCCTACTTACTAGATTAACTAACTAGCCCACCTAGTACATTTAATTTAGATACTATACCCTAACTAAAGGGATCTAGGCAGAGGTAGACCCTAAGGCTCTAGATACTAAAAACCACTTTAAGAATAAACCTATTAAGCCTAACATGCTAACAAATATCGCGCTATCTAACATAATAAGCGAGCAGTACAAGCTCTAAATAGCTTAGTACCAAGCCCGCTTATTAGATTAGGTATTAAAGTTATTAGTAATCCAGAACCTCTTTATATAGGTTAACAATATAGTAGATTAAGGGATCCTTACCCTAGCCTATATAGAGCTTGTTAATTAAGGAAGAGTAACCCTCTAAGCACTTATCTAAGTGCTCTGTAATAACCTAGCGCTAACTAATTTAAGCGCTACAACACTAGCAAGATTGTAGTACAAAGCTTATCTTGCTAAAGCAAAGATAAGTAGTTAAGACGCTAATTACTAGTAAAAGGAGTAGATAATCCTATATACGCGAGCTAAGGTATACAATATTCCTAATATTAAAGGATAGCTCGCAGTACAGGATTATCTTAAAGCTCTATCTACTAGGATCTTACTAGATTAGGGTTAAACTATGTTTTAAAGGATTATTAAAAAGTTAGTAATAGGAGAGCCAACATACAACCTCCTGCAGGTTGCTAAGATCTATTTATTACTTCTCCAAGAAAACGACATAAGATCAAGCTCTAGGGGTCCTAGAGTATTTGCAACAATAGGAGCTCCACCTTCTAATTAACTAAAGAAGGAGTCTTTATACCTATATAGTAGATCTTACCTATAGAAACCTCCTAAATATAAAAACGTTATTAAAGCTTAGACTAATATAGGTGACAAGCTTACTACCACTTAACAATCAGAGATTAAGAAAAGGATTAATAGGAATCAAAAATTCAAAGAGTTAAGGAAAGCTCTAATCAAGTCCCATCCTATTAATCAAGATTATAGTAGTAAGGCAAGCACGATCACCTATCTAGGCAGTATCTAGGCGGCACTAATTAACCCTATGTTAATAGCAGAGAAAACGAACAGGATCTATTTAACTATAGACTTTAAAGCTTATGCTCTATTAAAGAGCACTATCTTTAACAACAGAGGTGTAGTGCACCTAGTTAATAATATAAGCTACCTAGAAGAAAGCTTGTTTAGATTAGTTAAATATAAGATAGTTAAAGCAGGAACTTAAGCTTTTCTAATCTTAGGTAGAGGGACTAGAGTGATCCCTAATGCTCTTAATAGACCAAGAGGTCTAAAAACAGAAGATTTGGTGCTCACTAACGTAGTGTTAGTAGAAGGTTTTTATGTAAATATTATATTAGAAGCTTAATTACTTAAAGCAGGAGTTTGGTTCCTTAGGCTAGATGCCACCTTACAGTTTAGATTATTAGAGAAGAGCGTTATATTAGCCAAGTTACTGCGCAAGTTTAACTTAACTTTCCTAGAATACAAGCCCTCTACCCCTTATTAAATAATCTAAAGCATAGTGCCCAAACAACACTAACGATCCTAGACAACTTACCTAAGACACGATAGTGAGGAGCTTTAGCACTAATAATTAGGCTATTTAGGACCTAAGGCGCTTAAAGCTCTAGTTAAGTTAGCAATAAACGTTAGGATTAAAGGAACTCCTAGGAGCAAATGCGAGTACTGCGCTATTACACATGCCTAACAGGTTATATTAAGACAACCAAGGGAAAGATTACCACGTCCATACTACTAGGTATCATAGGATCTATTTAACATGCTAACAGGTATAGCTCACAAGCAATGGATCTTGGTATTAAAGTGCGATAACTTAGGAAAGCTTTATACCTATCTACTGCAAGCTAAAAACCTTAATAAGATTATGCAGGTGTTTAAAAATTTTAAGAGCTTAATACTTAACTAATATAAGCTTAGTATAGTTAAGATTATGCAAGACAACAACGTTGCAACGCTCCCTTAGCGTAGCAAATCTTGCTTTTAGATCTAGGCAGCTAATAATAGTATTAAAATTAAGAGCTCACCCGTATATACCTATAAACCTAATAGAGGAGTAGAAAGAGCAGGGCAAGAGATTATAACGAAATTAATTAAAATAAGGATTAGTGCTAACCTACTAATAAAGCTCTGGCCTAAAATTGTTAAAGCAGCAACTTGGCTCTACAATATAAGCCTGTCTTATACTTACAATATAATATCACCTAACAAAGTGCTAGATTGTTGGTTTACTAGATACTTTAGGTAGTGGCAACTAGAGTAGATAAGGGAGGCAACTACTAATCTCTGCCCTAATTGGAGCGGAATATACGCCTATAGCTATCAAGCTTACCCCCTTAACCAAGATTAAGCAGCTAGGCGTCACAAGAGGGTTTTTAAGGTGAACCCTTAGAGTTATATTAGATATCTAGTAGGATACAGAGTATCCAATATATATAGGATATAGATCCCCTCGCTTAATTAGATTATTACAACGCGGAACATTACCTTTAATAAGGATCTTTTCTATAAAGAGAAAGATCTAGAGCAGCTTTAATAGTTAGAAGCTTAAAAGATAGTTAACGTTATTAGCAAAGATAAGATCTGCGATGCAGGAGAAGCGTATAAAGAGCTTAATATCTTTAATTAGCTTTGTATTGCGGCAGAGCAATATAAGGAGTCTAGTAAGTAAGGAGGACTAAACCTAGCGCAGGAGCTAGGGGGTAGGGTAGAGCTAGAGGAGGTAGATAATTAGGCTAGCTAGCCTAGTAATTCACAACCCCCTAAGCAGACACCTCTAGCGTGGGTACTAAGCACAGCCAGCTTGGCACAAAGGATCTATATAAAGTCCCCTAAGCTAATAGGGCTCTAAACTCCTAAACTAACACTAGAACTAAACTTTAGTATAGGATACAAAGGATCCATGCAGGTTATAGATTAGGGTCTTACTACCTAAGATAGTAGTAATCTAACTCACTTTAACGCCACGATAGGTAGCTCCTAGGAAAGACCTAGAGGGGAGAGTGCTATTGATAGGTCACTCTATAAGAGCACGGAGATAGGTAAGGGCACCCTATCTAGTTCTTATAGGGGTGGTAAGTAGAGCTCCTGCCTACCCGCTTTAGGACTAGATTCTGTATCTCCTGCAGATCCCTCATAAGCGGCACCTAGAGCTCCTGGAAAAAGTAGAAAACCGCGAGTTAAAGGACTGCCACTAACGCGTGTTAGTAAGCAAGCTTAGGGACAGGACCCTAATAAACCACTAGGAGGCTCCACAAGTGCGGGGATATACATAGTGATAGATCTATTAGATATAGATCTAATTAGAAATCCCTTGCACGATCTTTTGGTACATCCTAAACCAAATGCTACAATCCACGCTGTGATCGCAGTAGTAATAGGGAGCAAATCCCCTAAAAACCCTAAAAGAAATACGCACCAGGACGCCCTACAAAAAGAGCTAAAATAATAGAAGGATCTCTATAACCACTAAATAGGACAGTAATTTAGAGACGCAGCATATAAAGAAATTAATACTCTACTAAAAGCTAGTACCTAGGAGGAGATTAATAGGCCAAATACAGGAGAGCGTCTACTCCTACTTAAATAGGTGTTTACATACAAGCTTAATTAGGATAGTTACCTAATTAAGTGCAAAGCAAGGATAGTAGTAAGAGGAGATCTATAGCTTACTGACTTAATTTATTTAACCTACGCAGCTACCCTAGTAGCTTGAACCTTTAGGACTGCAATAGCTATTGGAGCTAAGTTTAACCTTAAGATATATTAATATAACGTTGTTAGAGCTTTCCTTAACACCTTAAGAGATTAACACCCTATAGTTATCTACAAGCTACCTAAAGGATATTAAATACCTAGGAAGTGCGTTAAGCTTAAACGAGCTCTATATAGACTAAAAGACTCACTATTATTATAGTATAATAAGCTCTTAACTACACTCTAAGAAAATAAGCTTATTACTTCTAAAGAGGAGCCATGCCTGTTCTTTAACAGAGAT